TGTTCCATACACCCTTCCACACACCACGACTTCCACCTTTTCCATTGGACATCGTGCGAACAAGCGTCATCTTCTTAGTTTTATCTAGCAAAACGGCGTCTCCTGGATCACTGAAAAGGGCGGCAAAATTTTCCTCGTCCAATTGTTTGCCCCGGACCTCAGCAGCTTCTCGTTCCACCATTGCGGCAAGGTTCTTGTCAGATTCGACATGACCACCTGCAGCGAAATCACGGTAAGATTGTGTGTCGTGAGGGATGTTGCGATAAGGTTGGCGATCTTCGAGCTGCGGCGGGCCGGAAAATTGAGAAGAATTGCGAAGCTTTTTTTTCTTTTCCGGAGTTCCGTTGAACACTGTGGCATACTTGGCGGCTCCTGCTTGCGGGTAATACGGACTAGTCTTTATATTAGAAGATTCAGTCGCACCCTCAGCGTAATCAAGGGGCGCTGCGTGCGTCTCCTTAGAGGATCCCGTCAATGCTACAGCACGGTCGACTGACTCGAACTTTTTGTCGCAGGCGCAGTCGGATCTGCAGGGGAGATAGCAAAGATTGGTACAAGGATGACCACACTCGAGCCGCCTATTGCAGTGTTTCTTGCAACTCACGACGTCATGAGAAAAGCTGTGAACACGATTAGATCTAGATGTGGTCTGCTTGGGGCGTAACTCACAGATGACATCCCAACGCACACGTATGCCCGCATGACATCTCCTCTCGGCAGGCTCTTGAACATCCCGCCTCGAGACTATTGAAATCTTCTGGCTCTGTCGAAGTTTCAGCTGATGGAATTTGCCAAATGATGAGAAATATAAATCTCACCTTTGATAAAAGTCTTCTCGTTATGCTTCTTGCATGTCAAATGCAGGTAGAAGCCAACGCGACATGGGTCTTTCGCCATGGCTTGAATGATATGCCACCACAGCATGCTGGATCTGCAGAGGTTTGGCGCATCGCCGAAAATATAGAATCCGCGCCGAGCTCGAGAGAGAGCAACGCAGACACGGTTCTCGACCTCCAGAAAACCAATGTTGCCGCGAATGTTGCTTCTGACAAGCGAAAGGAGAACTACTTCGTTCTCTTCGCCCTGATACGAGTCTACCGTGACGACGGTGAATTTTGCCCCTTGCAGGTGCCGGTGTTCACGCAGCTTTCTCATGATCAGTTTTCGCTGTCCGTTGTAGAAGGTCAGAACCGTGATTTCCCCCGGAGCCATGCCGTTGAGGACGAGGTAATAAAAAAATGCTACCAGCATTTCCGCCTCTGCTTGATTTATCTTAGACATCTGACTATCCGTAGTCTCTCGGCCTTCGTGTGTGAAGAAATAAGAATTTACGCCACCCATGCCAGGAATAGGTAATCGGTCGAGGACAGAAGGATGGTCTTCTAGCTTTTCATATATTGGCTTTAGCGCACGTCGTATTTCAGGTATCATACGACGCTGACGCTTCAGCTGGGAGAATTCGACTTTGTTTCGAGCCAGTCGCTCGAACATAGAGATACCCAGATCTAGATAATGATTTCAAAGTCAGCATTAACAGGTAAAGCTTGCATCATGAACATTGAAATATGTCTATGGAAGAAAGACTTCCAAGACATTGCTCAAAGGCTCAAAGTTTGATTAATGAACAAGGAAATACAGAATCTGAGAACACTTACAATAAGGGTTGCCTGCGAGCTCTTGATCGTTACAATGACCCCTCAGCTGCCGATGGTCGCCGATCAGGATAAGATGCTCGAGGCTTTCGAAGCATGCAACTGACACGAAAGCCTCGAGTGTCTTCCGATTTCGGAGTCAGTATAACTCTTTCGGGAGGATTTCTGAGTCGCGAGACATGTCTCAGGAGCAGAGAACTCTTTCGACATGTCTGACGACTCACGGGGCAGCATGAATGGGGAAGGATTGCCTCGGAAAGTGTAACGTACCTCGGCAGCTTCTTCGATAAGAACAACTTTGGGGTCGAGACTCTGGATCAGACCGCGATACTTGCTTAAGCCAGTGGTGGTCATACCAATTACTTTGGCTTGTTTCAAGTAGTTGTAGTCGAGCTCCCAAAGGCCACTTTTCGCATCCTGTGATGCTGCTGCGTACTGGCGTGCCAGTTCCCGAAACTTCTTCGTGATTGCAGCTTTCAAACCCTGCTGCATGTGTCTATACACAGGTCCACGATGTTGCCTGGGGATATTCCACAGATCACGCTTCTGCATCTCAAATTGAACGGTCTCGTCTGTTACCCCGGTGCTCTGGCGGCCTGTGAAAGGTTCATTAAAAACCAAACGAAGTCCTCTCAAGGAGTCGCGGTCCTCATCATCGGCGAGCTTGCTTTCGGCTTCAATTTCTTTGAGTTGTTCGTACTCAACGACTTCTTCGACTTCAATGCCGAAATCCTCCGGCATGGTACGGTAGTTGGCTTCTATACGTTCATCACCCAACCAGGTGGCGATATCTCCCAATGGGTCGTCTTCGGCCCCGGCCCTGATCCATTCTTTGGCACCCTTGACAAGTGAATAGTATTGATCGTATGAGATCACATTGTACTGCTCGAATGATCTTGAATTCAACAGTTCTCTCCCTTCTGTGAGAGGGGCCAATAGAATTGTCATTTCCTTTGCCAACTGCTTCAATCTTCTCAGAGCCGGGTTCCTTAATCCCCCTGTTGGATTGCTATGCTTAATGGCATCTTTGATCTCGAAAAGCGTCTGCGGCTTGATGACTTCAGTGTCCTTCGTCCAAGCACCCAGGCGAATGAAGCCGGGCTCAAATTTGGCTATATGTCGAAGCAATTGGTCCAAAGCATGGTTTGTATGAGCAGCGATGATGATGGGAGGATCTTCGGCACCCAAGTTCTCTAATAATAGGCGGAGAGCAATCACCGAGACGTGTGTTTTTCCTGTGCCGGGCGGACCTTGTACTATTGCAAGCCGCTTTGAAAGGATGCGTTTCAGTGCATCCATTTGAGATGGGTCCAAACCACTGGGCAACTTGGCAGGCCATTCCTCGAGAGTGTCCACATTGAGTACCTCATCAACTGCGGTTGGAAATAGGCTCGATAGGTTCTTTCGAGGCTGTTGCTCGAGATACCGAGGAGGACGGATGACACGTTGAATGTCAACGATATGCTCCGAGAGAGGGAAGCTGGACTGGTGTCAGCTTCTTGGCAAATTTTAAGACCAGCCTCTCATACGTTTCTCTTGACAGCATCTGTAGTCCACGAAGAGTATGGCTGATAGAGTCAGCGAGTCGTTTCGTTTAAAATCCACCCACCATCAGTGGATGACGTACCGGCTTCCTTCGTAGAAACCATTGCGAGACTCGACCATAACCCATTCCTGCTGAGGGTCGATCTCGAACTCATCTGGGCCTCCAAAGAAAATGTCAAGCTCTGGTGGGTTTTGCTCGAGTCCGGCTAGAGGTCTTGCTGCGACTATGGCCACACGGCAGACAGATGCAAACATATCTTTTGCCGGAGTCAGCGCCAGAACTGCACCTGTAAGCAATCGTTTCGACTGCTCCCAGTTCACTTTCTTCCCAATCCGTCTCAGAGAAAACGTGACACGGGCTGCAATCCCGGCATTGGCGAACGTCAGGCCAATGATGAAGACCTAGCCACAGTAAGCAGATGCCACAAGATGTACAACCAATTTGAAGTACCTTCTCGTAGATGTACGCACTATTGTCGGATTCTTTCTCCATGATGTGGGGGTATACTTGAATCTCAGAGACCACATCCCGCAGCGGCGCCACGGCATCCTCCCTGAGCAACCTATAGTGGGTTTCCAAATAATCTTCCTTCGAAATGTATGGCCCAACGACAGAGTTTTCGGTCAATTCAAGCGTCGTACCGTGCTCCGTACGGCCTTCATCGAACACCTCACTGGGAGATGGAATCTCACGGAAGCCGGTCCAATGGGACGGGTCAGCAGGCTGACCAGCAGTTTTTGCATACTCCCTGATACTCAAATTCAGGGTCGTGGAGGGTCTTGCAGTGAGAGCACGAGGCACTCGGGAGTCGCGAATTGCTTTCCCACGACCAAATCGTTCGTTCAAATTCTCGTTCATATCTGATGTTGATTCAAGATTAGCAGGCGTCTCGACGCACCGTGAGAGGAGAAGTAAGCTCTCGATGACAGAGAAGTGGCTCAATGAGAAGGTGATATGAAGGGTGAGAAGCAGAGAATAGGATGAAAGTAGAAAGCAGGGAGATGAAATAGGTGAAAGTTTGCGCAGCCGCTAATGTGGCAGCAAACTTGTACCATTCATTGGCAATTGATATCAGAGATGCTGATTTGTCTCGGGCTAACGACAAATGCTTGAAGGTTGACTGCATGCAGGAACCCTTGAACGGTGATAGAGTAAGGAGACAACGCTGATGGCACCTTAGAACGCTTCTGCTAGCTTAGTCCATGAAGTAGCTGGAATTTGGGATTACATATTGCATTATCATCATCATCATCATCCTACGATTATTACTGTCTCACAATTGGGGCAGTGAATACTTGGGTGCAATCCTCCATCAGTAGCCAGACCGGACCTTCTCGCAAATGCTAGAAGTCTGAGTAGGACTGTTAAGGTAGTAGCAACCTCAGCTGATCGGACTGATCTTGTCCATGCAGTACGGCTGGCGGTATGTTTGACTGCTCATTTCTGCGCGAGGAGTTGAAGTTAGGAACAAGAGGAACGCGAAATGGCTCTCGAAGGCGCCAATGGCTAAACCTCGGAATCTTGCATTTCCGACAAAGCTGGAGTATGTCCCTCAAACTATCCTTCCTTCGTCTCGGTCTAAACCAAGCTCTCCAAGCAGTAGGCCGTCTTGATAGTGCTAGGGTATTGGGGAGGAACAGCCGATGTCCAGGAACGGAGATCTGGGTTTATATCCCTGCACGACGGAAACGAGAAGGGACTGATTGGTTTGGGACTATGGAAATAAGAGTCGGTATATGTTGAGAAGCTGCTTCGACAGGCCAGACCCCTACCAATCTTGGCCGGAACCTGTTGAAGCAAGGATGGATTCTTTTGGTGCTGAGGATGATGACCGGGAAAGTGGAGGCTCTCCGGACGGAAGTTCGGACAATGATCAGGATGGGCCTATGGAAGATCGAGATGACGAAGATTTGGATGGCAATGGGGCGCCAGAGGCTGATGCGGACGGGGAAGGCGAGATTGAAGAGGAAAATGAGGATGAAGACGATGAGCAAGACCAGGATGATTCGCAGTATGCATTCGGAGATGGTCCTCATCAAGGGCATACGAAGCCTGTCGAGGCCTCCCAAGCCTCATCCACAAGCAATACATCAGAGTCTCTGCAGGGTCAAACTGGCGTTGGCATTCCCACGTCTTCTGCACCCACATCCCACCCGAAGCCCTCCGTGCTACTTAGGTCTCCTTCGCCAACTCAGGATTCAGCCACATCCAATGGTCTAAGCATCGAGCTGCCCAAAGTTCGTCCAGAAGTATTGACTGCTTCCGTGTACGATATAGTCCCCACTATTGCAGCGCCACACAGCACATCAATCAACTCGATTACTGCGACTCCGGACCTGCGTTGGGTCTTTACCGGGGGTGCTGATGGGTATATAAGAAAGTTCAATTGGTTGGAAACTGCCAACGGCAAGTCTATGCTGACTGTAGCTCAGCGGCATCCTTTTGTTGACAGTGTGACGAAGGCTGGAGTCCTTATGAGTTATTGGGACAATACCGAAGAGCCTGCTGGTAATTATGTTATCACCCCGTGCGGATAATGCAATTTACATTAAATTGGCGGCAGGAAAATCATCCGAGGAAAGCTCCTCCATCTCATCAGTATACTCTCTTGCTGTACAGCGTGAAGGTTTATGGCTCTTGTCTGGACTCGAATCTGGCGGCATTAATCTACAATCTGTCAGGCATGATGAAGGAAGGCAAATAGCGTGCCTCCGAGGACACACTTCCGCTGTATCTGTTCTGGACCTTGGTAAAGACGAAAAGTCTGTCCTCTCGGGAAGCTGGGATAGGAGCGTCATTGATTGGGATTTGAACACGGGCAAAATCGTCCGCAATTTTGAGGGCAGTGGCGGCCAGCTATCAGCATTAGAAACGAGGCCGTTGTCTAGCTTGCCTGTTCCAGAAGCTTCGGGAAACTTGGTGGAACTCAATGGCACCTTTTCTACAGACAGCGCTGACAAGCCGCGAATCAACGGCACTACTATTAATGGTACCGACCACGACACTCAGCACGGACTTACGGTCAATGGAGATGCAGGCTCACCTGCTGACTCACTCTTCGGTGGAAATGACGGTGATTCACTATTTGGAGACAACGACAACGAAGCACCGGGGGCTCCATCCGGGGGCAACTTTGTTGACGACGATGACGACGAATTCTCGCGTGCTATTGCAAATGGGATTCGAGACCAGGAGCATGACCAGGAGCAAGACAAAATGACGAGAGACTTGGAAGGCGATACCGATATGAAGGATGCCAGCCAGTCTTCTACTACTGCGCCGGCCAATGGGAACCCACAAATGCTGACCTCGCCAGACACAGGGGTTGCAGCAGATGACACTGCTGACCTCGGAGTTTCTGGTCTATCTGAGACAGCAAGGAACGGATTGCCCCACTCAGGTGAGCTTTTTTCAAACGGTGAAAGCTGCGGAAACGCATCGGCGGATCTCCCAGAAGCTTCATCATCAAGTGATACGACTTTTCTTGCTGCTTCATTTGACGGAAGCCTTCGCGTATGGGATAAGCGCCAAAACAGACCCATAGCGAAGGTTACTCCTCAAAATGTGCCTCCATGGTGCATGAATGCTTGCTGGTCTCCGGACGGCAACTTCATTTATGCTGGAAGGCGAAATGGCACGGTTGATGAGTATAGCTTACACAAGGGCCTGCAAAGTGCCGAGAGAAGCTTCAAGCTGCCCAACAACAGCGGTCCAGTCAGCGCTGTTCGAGCTATGCCAAACGGACGCCATCTAATTTGGTAAGTGTCCCACTACTTTTGATGAGCAAGACTAATCCGCGGCAGCGCTTCCTATGACATTCTACGACTGTACGACCTGCAGCAACAACAGATTTTCAAGCATGCCACGGTGCCTTTCCTTATCGTTCCCGGTCATCGCACTGGCGTTGTATCCCATCTTTATATGGACCCGACGTGTAGGTATTTAGTATCAACAGCTGGGAATCGGGGTTGGGAAGGTACTTCTACGGAGGTATTGTTGGGTTATGAGATTGGTGTACCAAAGTAGAGATTGTGCTCAGAAGTTGACGAGAATCATATGAGCTTAGGTCATTGCGGAGTTGGGGAAACTGATTCATGTATCTTGCAAGATACCCAGGATTTTGTATCGCATATAAAGAGAAGTATGATCTGTTTCATTAAGAGACAAGCAGGATTTATCTTGGAGTCGTGTCACGAGCACAATTACTTAAATGCTATCGAAATAGCGCGTTCAGCGCCGAGGGGCAAATGCCGCTTCGTCAACACTCCATGATGACGGTTGCTCCTCCCTTGAATAAGCCTCTGGACTAACAGCTACCAGACCGGCAACAGACCAACATAACAGTCATTGCTCGTGGGTTGCTCTCCTTTGGATAGCTTGCAACAATTGGACGTGTAATCACTGCTGCTAGCATATCGCGGTCCAACAACCAGACAATGCCTCATCTTCGTGGTATCACAGTCCACGTCACTGACTCTCATGGCGAAAATCTTCAGGAGTGGGGGATTCAATATCTACGGCAGCATACCGAGGAAAAGAGGGTTTCTGCATACGTCGAGTCGAGAACGGATGTCTCATTTCAGATCTCATTGCAGCCAGATATCCCATTCGTTGGGCACCTTCCTCCATCAGAAACATCGGGAGGCGAGAAGATATTTATCACTACCCTTTCGTCTCCAACCCGACCATCTACAACACCCGAGAGTCACTCCGCACCGGATTTTGCGTTACTAGCTTCACTCTATCTTGATGGACGAAGGACACCAGAGCGTAAGATTATCGTCTACACCGATCCTGAAGAGAAAGATTTCCATTCTCCGGATGGCAAAGTTAACTTCAAACACCGTTGGGTAAATTCGGCTGACGGAAGAATGGCCGAACATGCTTGGGTGTTCAAGGAAAAAGCCATCGAAACGGTCTTTGACAAATTAATGATCGCTGGGTCTCAAGCCAACGTAGAGGATCGGGATGACGATGCTCTGATCAAAGCTATGCAGTCCTCAGGGTTCGATGCCCAAGGAAAGACTGGGGAAGAGAGCAAAGTTGGTCAAATTGTGGTTGAGGTCCGGAGAGTGGTTCTGGGGAAAAAGCGAACAGAAGCGAATTACCGCTCGCACCATCAAGAAGGCCAGGACGAGGACGTCGATATGGAAGGAGTTCGGCGAGATATCACTCACGCAACGGGGTAAGTTTTGGACTACTTCCCTAGGTTACGTCCACTGTGCTGACATGCTCAACCTTAGATTCATACACAAAAACACTCTGAATTCTCAGCCTTTGCGAGTGATTGAGTACTGTGAGTCGTCCCTTTCTGCTTTGTACCAAACCTGAGTCGCAAGGCTCATTTCGAGAGCAAACATCTTCTTCTATTTCTAAGAATTGTTTCGTGAACCCAGAGTTCTTGCCTTGAAGACGCGACTCTGATTCGAAATTTTGCCTAGGGCCCTACAAGCCGAACGAAGGACTTTACGCCACCTTCCAGTTCTTCTATAGAAGTCGAGGTACGTGTTTTCGGAAAAAGCCCTTGCGGCACGAGGCTATCTACCATTAATTTGACTGATCTTTTATCAGAGCAGCTGCAACAGTTCCAGTTTCCGGGGTTTCCGTCCCTTCCAACGATAAGAACAGCTAGGACAGCAAGACTGCTGAATGCGCGGATGGCCAATTTGACCCCCCTGAGTATCTCCCTTCCTCTGGACCAGACAACCAAGAAGATACAGCATGATCAAGACTCATATGAACTAAAGGTCAAAAAGAGAGGATTCAAGCCAGATGACAGTCAAAAACATGACTTCGGTTCTGAGTATCGAGACATACGAGCAACGTCGCCGTCTACAGTAGACGAGGCTTATGAGGGCAAGAAGCGGCCAAAGTATCCGGCCGCTCCATTACCCTTTCTCGCCAAAAAAACGTTTGATAACACAGGAATTGATACTATTCCCCTAAAGACTAGCCCGACCAGTGCAGAAGCACCCCTCGTAGCAGGAAAACATATGGCTGCAGACCTAAAACACAAGCTACAGCCTCAAGGACACGTCCGCCATTCATTCAACTCGGACACTCCCAATTCCGTCACCGCAGAACCCTCATCATCCCCTCCATCAGCAACCAACTTTAACAAAGAGCAAATGGCCATCATCACGGACAAGGACGGCTATCGCCTAGCTGCTGGGGATTCTTACTCGAGCGATCAAGAGGAAGACACTAACGACGAGCACGCAACGGAATCGGACCTCGAAACCCATGCCGGTGATGACGACTTCAACTACGCTGCTAATCCCGAGGAAGAGGACGAAGGCTACGATAGCTTGCAGTCTCGGTTCAAAAACGTGAGGATTCGTAAGCGTCGACGTGACGATGTTGGGGATGTAGAGGATGACAATGAGGCCTGCCAAGAGGACGATGCTGCTCATCAGGATGGCGATGGAAAGCAGAAGACCCTGAAACTGCCGTTGACGGAAGAAGAGCGTGCACATCGAGGCAAGATAGCGAGGACATCTAAAACAACCTCGGCGGCAGAAGATGGTCAACATACCCACGGTACTGAGAAGACACAGGTGGTGGGAGTGACCCAAAAAGGTGTATCATGAGCAGAGCAGGAAAGGCTACTTGACACGACAATGCTAGGCCTTTTGAATATTGGACCCTGGAGCGGAGGCCCTATCTGTGCATAGAGAACTGAGACGTCGCTTGCAAGGGCAATGATTCCTCAAATGAGTCGATTTCGTTTGGTGTAGCAAATTCGAATCAGGTGCGTCAAGCACAGACTATGTCACAAATTATTTCCTCACTCGATGATTTGATTTGACAGTAGATTGATGTTAATGTGAGGTATCTTCCTTGCATGTATGCACTCGGGTCGAATACAACTTTCAATGCCGGTCTATGGTATGGAAAATCTAGCAAGCACCTCGAGCTGCCTGTGCCTCGCTGTTTCCCTAACCCTTCAATATTGCCCTAATCTCCCCCACGACTCCTCTAATCCTCGGCTCCTTGACAGCAGACTCCACCTTGCCCAATGCCCCAGCGAGATCGTAGACTTGTTTCGCAGCTTCCAGCACCTCCTCCCCTAGGCTCAATAACGTGCCAACCGCCACAAGACCGCGGTAGGCGGCTTCTGAGTCCCTAAGAGTGCTGACGAGAGATACGAGGTCGTCAAGGAGCATTAGCCCACGATCTATTGACGACGGGAGTGAAGAGTGAGAGGATGAAGTGAGGAGGACGGCGTAATTGAGATAAAGCGTTGCAACTGCTATGGTGATATTGCGATTGGTGGTGCCTGCCGAGGAAACTTTGACGAGTTCGTGAATCTTGTCGTAGTTGCTATCTACGAGGTTCCGGCCAGATGCTGTGTCGAAAAGGTTGCCACAAGCACGGACAGATAACATTATGTTATTCTCTCGATCTTTGTCATCAAAGCCGTTAGTAGCGAGGATGTCGATCACATTTGTCGAGGATGAAGTGCGATACTCCGCTAATGCTGGGGTAGCAGCGGCGAGTAGACGAAGGAGATCCAGTGCTGGAAGACGGTAGGATGGGGGCCAGCTTGTGAGGATGTAAAAGACGAGGGGTATGCCGGCTGTAAGAGCAGATTTGGACGATGGAGTGCTAGAAAGACTTTGTTCCAATAGTTTAATCATTGCTTCGAGATCGGCGAGAAGCTCCTTGTCAAGAGACATGTCCTTAGAGCCTTCTTGGATCAGCTGCTGGTTGAGCTCTTCGATCTTCTTGCGAACAGTACGGAGATTTGCCGTTTTGATAGAAAGGTAAGTTGTTTGAGGGAGAAGTTTAGGACGCGAGCTTGAAGGCTGAGATGGAAAAGGGGTTGGTGCGGTCTGACCAGGCCGATATGCACCGCTACCCCATGGATCTGCACCAGACGGCTCTTGTGAGGCTTGCCCAATTGTAGCTCCTTGTGTGTTAGTAACGATAAAATTGGCGACCTGTTCTAAGTAGGTTACTGGTAACTCATTATCCGCTATGAATGTTGTTGCAGCCTCGTACGGGTTTTGTGAAAGATTGTAGGGTAACTTCAATGGCGGCTTGCCATCTTCAATGTCAACGTCGAAGACATAGTCGTAGTCTTTACCTGCGTAGCTAGTCTTCTTCCCACTGCTACCAACAGCGTCCACTACCGTACCCACGTTCATCCATGACTGTGATCCTTGAGACCATTGGTGAGCAGTGACGCTGCCATCTGGTTCTCGAATCATAACCACTTGCCCTTCTTTGGTCCCTGACTTCTGCTGCAGAAACTCTGGACCATGCAGCGTCTCTTTGTTGACATCGCCGACTTGTTGTTGGGGTATTGAGGACGATTTCACTGAGTCCTCGAAACCGCGGATTACTTCTGGCTCGGCTTGTCGATCGCTATCTCTGCTGAAGACTCGTACTTTCCGGTCACTAGCTCCACTGACAATGTCGCCATTTTCCGAGCAAGCTGCTACGCCCCAGACTGATATTGCTGGGTGGGTGATTGTCTGTATGCACTGGTTTCCTCTCCATATTCGCACTGTTCGATCTTCGCCCGAGCTCACAAGCTCGCCGTTCGGTGAGCTGACCAGGGAATATATGAAGTTCTCATGACCGACCAACTCCTCAACTTGTCGTCCATCGAGCTTCCACAGTCGGATCACACCATCGTTGCCGGCTGAGGCAAAGTCTGCGCCAGAGGGATGATCTGATGGGACCCGGCAGAGAGCTCTGACAACATCCGTGCTGCCTTTGATAGTATGTGAGAATTTGCCTCTGACGTCGAATACCCTTATGAGCGTATCAGCACACCCTATTCGTAGTCCCAATCAGTCCGTTGCCTCTAAGTCGATCTCTATCGTCTCAAACCCACCTGTAATTATCGTGTTCGAATCGTAAACCAAGACACTCCACACGCTACCTTCATGTCCCTCGAGAAGGGCTTCACACTCCCATTTTCCTATCCTCCACAGCCTTGCTGAGCCATCCCAGCTGCCACTGACCACGAAGCCTCCATCGACGCAAACATCCAGTGCACAAACGTTATGGCTGTGTCCCAGAAGTAGAGCCTCAGCATTGTCTTCTGGTGGCTTGCCGGGCTGCCGAACCTCTATTATCGTATCCTTGCCTCCAGATACTACGAGGCCATTGGGATACTCAGAGGTTGGGGGGAGGTAGGCGATAGCGTTGATGAAGGCTGAGCCATGCGAGCAAATTGAGCCGTCGTATTTAGGAGGGTTGTGGGACAGTAATTTCCATAGACGGACAGTAGCATCTCTTGAGGCGGAGAGGACAAAGGATGGATGAGGGAAGATAACACCGCGGACCTAGATCTAATTAATTTTTGAGGTTTTAGGCCATGATGCTTAAGGGGAACACCCGGACTCACGTCGTCTTCATGTTCCTCAAGGGATGCTGAGAGCTTGTACTCGGTCATTTCAGTGATGGGCTTGCAGTTGACCTACCCTTACGAGTACCCTTGAAACAGTATGAGCTACGATCCTTTCATTGTCAGAAAGCAGCCTTCAAGTAGTCTTCACCAAAGTTTGTCAAGTCGTAACACGTTTGAAATTGCAATAATGTACAGATATGCTGACAAAGTCAAGTGTCAGTGGTCAGTGTTTGCTGAATCCCATATTGACTACGCACCCTGGTGCACCTAAGGTACTCCGTACTTGAGCCGAGAACATGGCCAACCACCCAACGTCCGCTTATACAAGTATAAGCCCTAATCGATAAGGAATAGAAAGCCTGGGGCATTGCTCCACCACTCCATGATTTTGATCTATGGGTAGTAGTCTATTATGTGTACATTTACTGACTCAGGAGTAGACTCATTCTCCCTATAGACATGGTCTCTCAAAAGACTTCCTGTTTTGCAATCATGTTTGAGATTCGCCTGGCCTCTTCTCGCCATCGGGACCCAACACTCCATACCATATGAGTACCCCAGGCATCTACCCTGCACTCGAAATCTCTCCTGTTATTGGGAAGGCAATTAATTGTGCCGAGATCGTTTGGAAAGCAAGACCAAGGTATCAGACAGAAAATGATTCATCACCCTGCCGGAATTCAGTGTAGATTCAGTCTGTTGGGATTCGCGGGTCGTTTCATTAGAGACCACGTTTCGCAATGCCAATTGGCTGGATTTGGCAAGCAGATCGCTGTTGGTTTACGATTCACTTTCTGGAACGTGCAAGTGTAGTCTCAAGACTCCAGTGCGTAAAGTAGAATAATGTCCGCCCTTGCCCAGAAACAGGGCTACACTAATGCTTTCGTATGAGCATTCGCTTCGACAGCAGTAGTCCGTTGAGAGGCGAATGACTTGGATGTTCCTTTCCATTGCCTGGGGATCAGTTCTGACGGCTGAGATGTCCGAAGCGTGGCGGCTATCCTTGGATTCTGGCCTACCAAGAAGCTCAAGCTCATGTTCAAATAGAGAAAGAAATACACGAAAATGGAGAGAGAGAAAAGGACTCGTAGGGAAAGTGCCGCTTGGATTGCGCAGCAGATTCTCCGAATCAGATATATTTGTCGGGCGCAGGCAGGCTCGCATGTATCGTATCGTATCGTATCGTATCGTAGTAGTAAATCGTCGGGAATTCAATTTCCAAAAGACTCCACCGTCAGCTCTTACCCCTCGGGAGGGGGTGGCGGAGGTGGCGGTTTACAGAAGACGCTTCTCAGCGCCATTGCCTAGAACGATATCGCATAGAGGGACGTCGATTGAGGCCGCTGTTCAATAACGTGGGAGTTGACCTATATCACAGCGGGCTTGCCGGCTTTGATGAATGCCTCACGACTCATCAAGGTTGTGGGCATCTGACTATAAGTGTTACATGCCGCTCCTCCAAAGTCAACGTTCCCAAGGAGAAACTCCAGCTATTTGGTATCCAGCTTGTCCGAATTTTGAGAATGGTAGAGGAAGAAGAACTAAGCGCGCAGCACGGCTTTAGCGGTCTTTCAGTGGAACACCCACGAGTCGATGAAGTCGACTATACTCGAGTAGAGTGATTATTGAAAGAAAAATGAAGAAGAGGCGTCGTTGTTTTTGTAGTGGCTGGTTCTAAAGGGCTGTGGCTTGATAGGCGAGCATTAGTTAGCGGCGATCAATTACCCCGGTGTTCCACTCACTGAGTACATTACTGGTACATGCATAGATCACAGTATCTTGCTCATATTAAGACCTTTGTTCTTCCTCTTTTCCCCTCTCCCCCCCCCCAATATTTTTCATCTTTACTGTCTCTCTAATTTGGAGGAGTATCTCAGTTTCTACTTTCTCTTCCGTAGCTTGGATAGGCGCAGCTCAGAGATCATTTACGAATTATACGACATTTAATGAAGTGAATGACAAGTACCAGCTCTCGGACAAAGAAATACACCACCAACCTTCGTTTGCTAAGGACTTCACGTGAACTCAGAATAATCCCCCATATTCTAGTGCCCACCACTTCCTCCCTCTCATTCGAGTTTGAGAGTCTCAGCTGCCATTAAGACCGTCTCTATCCTTTCCTCACCGCCTCTCATTTCCCCTACATTACTTGAACCTCTACCATGGGTGAGCCGTCACTGTTCTCTACGCCTGTTTCTATGGCACCCGCTCCCCAGCAAAGTACAAGCTCTCGAATTTGACTTCGAAACCTCCGACAGGTAGTATCAAAAGCTGACTTTCCTGCCAGAATCGACCAAAGCAGTGCCCCTGACTTGCCATGGACACTCTCGTCCGGTTACGCACCTGAGCTTCTCTGACGTTGTGGAGGATGAACAATACTACCTTATTTCCGCCTGCAAAGGTTGGCAGAGCTTGAAGTCTATGATTATTGGGAAATCACTAATGCATCGCAGACAATAATCCTATGCTTCGAGATGGAGTGACTGGCGATTGGTGTGCTACCCTTGTCCAGCTGCGAAATTGGCATTGCTGATAAATCATAGGATCGGCACATTCATCGGTCACAAAGGAGCATGTTGGCAAGCCCGCCTCTCCTCCGACGCTACGCTCGCAGCCACTGCTTCCGCAGATTTCTCAGCGTACGTCTCCTTGATCATTCTCTTTGTGAGTCTCGGACAAGCTAACGCCACTCTCCCACAGCAAAGTATGGGACACTCACACTGGCGAATGCCTGCACACCCTTCAACATGCCCACATCGTCCGCGCCGTCGCCTTCCCCTCCCAGCCCCGCCCGCAAATCTTGGCCACTGGCGGTGTTGAAAAGAAACTCATGGTATACGATCTATCACAGTCGCGCATTTCGCCCAACAGCAACTCTTCCTCCCCAACTAGCCCAACATTCGGTGCGAACGGCCATGCCTCACACCCGCCAGGTTATGAAATTGGCCCTGGCGTCCACAAGAGCACGATCAGATCGATAATTTGGGGCGGTGATCTCAATATTCTGATCACCGCCTGCGAAGATAAGAACATTCGATGGTTCGATGTCCGTACGCGCTCGCCCATCGCCACATACGCCGTTGACGGGACGATCGGTTCTTGCGAGCTCAACCCCTCCAAGTCTACACTCTCCGTCGCGGCAGGTAAATCCGCATACTTCTTCTCTGGCACCTCCCCCAGCCAATTGCTCAAACGCGCTACATTTCCTAAGGAAGTGGCATCAGTGGCAGTGCACGAAGGAGAGCGAAAGTTCGTGACAGGTGGAAACCAAGATACATGGATGAAAGTGTGGGACTTGGACGGAGACGGGCAAGGCGATCCTTTGGACGTGTGGAAGGGACACCATGGACCAATTTGGAGTCTGGGGTTCAGCCCAGATGGCAAGCTTTGCGCGAGTGGAAGCGAGGATGGGACGGTCAAATTATGGAAATTTTGTGAAGGCGGCTACGGGCTCTGGAAGTGAACGGCCTCAAGGATTCGGGGACCCATGGAGAGAGTCCTGCTGGAAGGGGCAGGATTCGAATCGGAGGTGACAAACACATAAGCGCATCGTCCGGCATGAGAGAAGAGAGATGTGGGCAACAGGTGAGATGCCTTTGCATCAAGGACGACGTTGCGATTGGGGTGGCGGTCTGAATACTTGTATCTTACTACCTTTGGTGATACCCCCTTATGTATCGCGATAGACGCAATGAGAGAGATGTATAATGGATTCCAAGCGACCTGGAGTGCTGTCAAATTTGTGAAGAGTCTGCACGAAAAGATATCGCAGTCATATTTGCATTCATCATTCAACTGCCCAGCCGGCTTCTCAGGAGGTGAGAAGAGTGTGTTCGAATCTCTACGCTCGCTCGAACCTGCTACAACAATGACTCAAATCACCCAGGATGCATAGGCTCCGCTTACCGTAGAATCACCGGTTCCATTTGTCCAGCGCCTTTTCAAAGAATCATGTCAATATCATCATCATCCACCACGGCCGGTGCCGCCATCTCTTCTTTTTTCCCCCCATTTGCATCCCCATTCACAGCCCCATTTTCTTCAGCTTTTGACCCCCAGTAATCTTCCATCTCCCGATCCAGTTCCTCTTGCGTCTTCCTCGGCCGCCCATTGGCCATCCGCGATCCCCTCTCCCTCTCCTCCCCTCTGCTCCTTCCGCCTCGACCATGGATCAGGCTTCTCGCCCTACCAATTGGACTCCTACGGCGGGAGCTTCTGGTCCTGCTTCTCCTCCGTCTGCTACCACCCGCTGGGGGGATGTATCGGTCGACACCATCAGGCGGCGGCTTCGACGTATCTGTCCTCCGCGGAGCGTCAGGGCTTCTAGACCTACTCCTTCCACCACCGTGTCTCCCAGCTCCAGGCATCTCTACTCTGTCAAACAGACTCCTGCTAGGCTTGACAGCAGTATCAAAGGGGTTGCGGCCGGCCGTAGCTCTACCGCGTATTGAGTCAACGCTTGGTGCTGTAGGAAGCAGCGTAAGACGAATTGGTTGGCCAGCTGCATTTGCGCCGTCGAATTCGCGTATAGCGCGATTTGCCGAAGAAGTGGAGGCATACGTGACAAAGGCTGTGCCGGAAGAACGGCCGGCGCGGTCGAATCGAAGAGACAGAGACGTGACAGGGGCGATACGGGTGAATAGATCCTGGTAAGAGGATGCGTTAGCCGAGTCTCTGCGGAGAGAAAGGGAAAAAGCTACTTCGAGATCGTCTTCTGTAAGGTCGTAGTGTAGGTTATCAACACGGAGTTTGGCACCGGTAGAGGAGCTACATCAAAGGGTCAGATTCACATAATGCTATTTAGCATGAACGAAAGGGGCATCTTACTTGTCGGGCTCGGGCGAGTATCGGTCTATTCGAGTATTGCGTGGTTGGCGGTATGGTTGTCGTGCTGGAAGATAATCAGTTGTTGTTATTTAGAGGCCTTGTCGCTCGAGACGCACTGGGCAGTTCTTCTTCGTCCTCTTTGAACCTGTCGTGGACCCAATCTCTACTTCGAGATTAGACATCGACTGCGCAAGGGAAGGCATGTAGCGGTACACACGAATCGATATCTGTAGTGTCTGCTTTATTGTTGTACTATTTCGCCACGGAAGAAGAGGACCAGGTCAGCCTTGTGTCATGTATATCTAAGCACTGTTTCTCGAATATCGCATCCGTCCATAGCTGAAGGATCGCCAGGTGCGACTAAATTGCAGGCGAGGTGAGGAATGAGGTGGAAGAACCTAGGGGTGAGACAGTGTCAGGATAGTTCGTTACATAGACGACAGCTGCAACATGATAAGGCATAGAGAGGGATGTTGAGAAGGACTGTGGTCAGAGCTGTATACCTTTCTTGCATCGTCGCGCGGCCAATTATTCTGGCGCCGACCTCGCCCTCCACGGTTGCCTCTTCTCTATAGATCGAACAAGTCAGCTTCAGCGAAACTAGGTGGAAAGTCATCATCTTTGCAAGAAGATTATGTTACCTGTCGTTCCGAGATCACATCCTCCAAGGGCCGGTCCATGCTTTCCGAATGACCGCCAAGAGAGCTCGATTTTTGTTTTGTTGTTCAAGAGATTGAACCAGTAGCGATATCGAAGTGTGTTTTGGTGCACATCAGTGGACTATTGTGATAGTGAATGTCATGGAGAGCCTTCTGGGAGGATTAAAGGATTCGCCTAGTAAATTCATCACGTGATACGTCATTACCAGGTAAGGTATCTCAATAATATGTGCATTGCTTGTGACAGTCTAAACCTAATCTACAGGTCCGGTCCTATTTACGGATGACTTCCTTCTTCTATGAGCACCGATCCTGCTATGCCCGTCTATCGCTATTATAGACTCAGTCGAGGAGAGTGGTAGGAAGCTGGGATAGAGTATCGCAAGCAGAGACTCAGCTTTCTCTGAAGACTATCATGCACCAAAGAGTCTCTCACCCTCCATGCCAGGTTCGCTTATTGATGCAAGAACTGTGGAGAACAGATGAAATCCTGGACAGCACGCAGGTGAAGCCAAAGACAACAATCATGAGTAAGCCTTGCGATCAGCGCCGATATTGCCTTTCACGCCTCCGCTGCTCGAGGAAGGGCGTAGGCTCTGGTTGTAATTCTGAGATACCGGCTGCGGGATTTTCGACGGAGTTTGAGTAGGTAGAGCCGGCATTGGTATAGGGTCGTCATCATAATCGTCTAGAACATACTCTTCGCTTTGTGTCCCTTGATGCTGCACTAGTATCTCGTCCACTGGTTGCTGGCCGTAGCGTGACTTCTGCGCTGGCGGTTGCGCATGCGTGGCTGCATTCGCATTCTTCTTGTTGCCTTTCTTGCCTTTTCTATTCTTCATCTTTGCTTTTTCAAGAAGTCGTTGTTTTTCGGCCAAACGCTTACGCTCTAGTCTATCTTTAGCCTCGTATTGCCGGATCAATGCCTTTGGTGGTTCGTGAAAGATGCTTTCATATTCGCAGAACTCGCAGATCCAGACGTCTTCTTCTTTCGGTGGATTTTTGTAATTGTTCATCTCCTGACGCGTGCGGCGATTGCGAGCTGCGAGAGCATACTGCTTGTGAAGCGGACGACGGGGCTTCTTCGTTTGTTGCGGAGCTTGTTGATTGGCACCAGTTTGGTGAGCCGCAGCCTGATTTGTTTGGCTTGCCATATTTGGACTCGTCTGAGTTCCCTGAGTCGCGAAACCTCTGCCGTTCTGTGATTGATGGGGTCCTGTTGAATTTGTGGCTACTCTCGAGTACGGTCCGCTAGGCGAAGGGCTGAAGTCTATGTCCGGAGGCCACACCATACTTTTTGCAGAATCGGATTCGCAAATGAACGTGAATTGAGTCTTTGCAGAGCTAGAATTCTTTGACGACTGTTGCTCGAGGAGGCTTTTGTTCTCCTGGCCTTTGACTGGCGTAGTTGGTGAAGCAGCTGCCTCTGCGATAGCTGCCGATATTATGCCTTGGTCAGTTGATTTTGCTGCGGCAGCCTCTGTGCACAGATTAGGAGACGAAGCAAACGCATGACTAAAGAATGATATTACCTTTACCTCCAGTATTACTGCCAAGTGTGTAGTCCCTTCGATGGTGAAAAGATCGACCAGCTTGTAAAGTGTTCGATCCATTGACCGACACACCGAGAGGACTTCGCCCGCTATGATACCGCGTGCCAGCTCTTCCATAGCGTCCTCTCCCAGCTCCGGATATTCCTGTTCCAGATGAGATGGCCGACACGGCTGAATTTCCTGTACCGTAATAGTGTCCAACGCCGCTGTCCGACTCTGACTGAGCAACATCTATATCTCGCGTTGACGAGATACCCATTTGAGCCATGTCGGCAGAGAGCGAGGTCTGGTGACTTCCGAGTGACCCAGAAGTAGGTATCTTACGTTTCTTTTTGTTGTTTGTATTCTCAAATGAATCATATCCATCAACCGAGTCGCCTGAGGATGCTGTTGATTGTGGTATGGGCGGCTTGATGTACTTGACAGTGTCACTTCTTGAAAGCGTATAACCACTCCTGAACATATTATTCACACTTCCGGGCCTCTGGCGCTGTTCTTGACAGCGCCTTGCCATACCAACGCCATCTTCGTCGTCGCTGCCATTCTCGGCCCCCCTAAATTGGTAGCTATCAATTTCACCGTCACCATTCCTTTGCTCTCGTACTAGATTAGCATCCATCTCGGATAGATGCGCTCGGGCAGGTAATCCATTCTGCTGATCCGTCGGGCCATTGTATGGAAATTGAAAGAGTGGCTTTGACAACGTCGTGGCCGGTGGATACAAGATAGAGTCCGCGACCTCTGAGGATAGTCGGGAACGTAGACGTTTCTTTGGCAGGGGCCGGATAGGCCGGTCTGGGTAAATAGAGGAGGTGGTATCGGAGTAGTGTAATTCTAGTGGAGGAGGCGGAGAGTATGTAGCTCCTGCAAAGATAGGAAACAAGAACCGTGTCAGCCTTATACCAAAATGGTCGAAAATGCATATAGGATGCATGAGGAGCATATGGTGAATGGTATTGATAGCTTTACATAGCTTTGAAGTAAGGATGGTTGTTGTTCCTAAGTTTGCAAGGGAAGGCGTGAGCTCGTACCTAGTGTGGCTGCCATGGTGTCCACGATCTCTGTCCGCCAGCTTCAATATGCAACTCCTTTGTGTATATAAGGCCGCTGACAGCAACAGTACGGGTATGTACGCCGCGTATGTATGGCTAGTGGCTAGAGAGATTGACACATGGACAATTGATGGAGATGTCTAAATGATGAAGGTAAGCTCTCTGTGATCACACTCGCAATTGGAATAGTCAACGTGGCTCGCCAGCATAGCTAGAGTACAGTGGTCAGGGTTGGGAGTCCACGGTCGCTGTTCAAGAGAATTTGACTCGAAGCGGAGAATAATCTTACAAATGCTGATATACAGGAGTTGGGTACTAGTACTTGTGGGTAGGCAAGCTGCTGACTTGATTCCCTTTGCAAGTCTTGAGCAGCGAGGAAGGGGTTTGGAGGATTCAACAAAATGGATGGTAGGTAGAAGACTCGGCAGCTGTTGAGTGGGCAAAGGAAAAAGTTTGATGTTGAAGACAGCTACGAGTACTAATTATCCTAATCAATAATCATAATAATAGACCTGACCTTACTTAATCATTCGCTTTCATGACACCATGCAGTCGATAGCCTTTTGGGAAATCACCGTAACGCCTTTGGGCATCGCCTTGTATTTTGGCCGAATATCCGCGTCAGAGACAAGGTCCTTGTACAACCTCGATGTCTCTGTGTTCTCTCTGTCTCTGTGTTTCTGTGTCTCTGTGTCTGCGCCTGCACCTGTACCTGCACCTGTACCTGTACCTGTACCTGTACCTGTACCTGTACCTGTGCCTTGCCCTGCGCCTATCTGCTTTCAGGCTCTTGGATCCTCTCTCCGCATCACAATATATGTTGAGTGTCGTCTTTACAAAGCTCATGAAACGTCATGAAGGACGCTTGAGGGGCTATTCTGCTTTTCCAATACCTACTATGACACCCTTTTCCACCCACTTCTCCAAGTCATTGTCTCAGGTCAGCTCCACTCATCTGTCTCCCTAATCCCAACAGATGGACAAAGTCGGCATCGAAGCTTTCCCACGTAACATTTCAGAATTGAGTAGCTCTCGTTATCGACGCCTGAGAAAGCTAGAGCTGGATGGACGTGTGCATTGGCCCGGTCCATCTCATAGACGGGCAAATGCAGCGGCATGGGGACTCTGTTCGACTCTCCTTCAACTCCAAGAGTGAGCGCTTTGCTCTCTCTCTGTGTTGCGCTAGATGCCCTCAAATCAGACATTTACTTTATCTCCATGATCAGTTGCAGAAGCCGCCTTGAAGAGGTCAAATCTAGAAATAGCAATTCGGCCGACGACCCTACAAGTTGGGGTACTGGTGGGGTACTGGTGGAGTTGTCGAGCTTTTAAGGCGAATTACTGAGCTCTTCTATTTTCAAAGAGATAGGTATATACTCCTTGGCGATGGATGATTGAAACGATGTGTGCTGTAGGATTGTCTTGGGGAATATAAATGATATTGTCATATTGATAGGAAGAATTATCCGCCTCCACTGGCCTTGGATGCACAGATACATACTATATCTTAAAGTATTTGATGTACTCGTAGTGAGCATCCGAATCCAATATACTTACTTGGCCCTTATCATGTCAAGTCCCTGTCACTTCGGCTGGCTTGTCATTATCTGGCGGCCACCCTCAGATGGAGGAGATTCCAAACTCAAGAAATGCTCCAGTCTGATTTCCTTTTCCAACTTGGGTGCCAAGATCTCACTTGAATTGTGAGACTCGAGATGATGTTAAAGCCGTAAGGTAAACTCCGTTTCCTAACAGGGTCTAGTGAGGACAGTGCTCGTGAAGACGCGAAACTCCCCTCTTCCCTCTAATAAATCTCTACGAACTCCTAGAGCTCTCATGTTCTATCAATTCAATTTCCCTCCTGTCAGCTATTTCACTGCACCGACAAGCCTTGGGTCCTACATCCAAAACTCATTCTGATCAAGTCTTCCCTCAATCTTCACACGTCGGCTCCAATTTGTCAAATCTGGGAGTCGCACACATAAGCAGAACCTAAATCAGTACTTCCCATAGCCTCAAAGCACTTTGACCATGCTTGCTAGTCCTTAGCAAACCAAGAGCTGCTTATGTCTCCCCGTCGCTCGTCACGGGCGCGTACCACACAGCCAACGCCATCTGCACCGCAACACACCAATTCCTCCTCGTCCTCTATCTCCTCTGGTCCGGCAGATCGCAGCGCCCGCCCGCAAACCAAGTTACCATCGCCGCGGAGCTCAGTAGCTGCTCGATCGCAGTCTCCCGAAGATTCTGAAGCGCCAGCCAGACCACAGTCGCGGAGGACGAGGAGTAGCCAAGACGACCCCAAAGACGAAGCCCCGCCTGCAATCGACGACGAGAATGACGACGAAGTCGAAGAAGAAGTGACAAGATGCATTTGTGGGAACCAGGAATATCCAGGATTGCCTGACCCCGACCCCGCCAAAACCGTCTCTAAGGACGAGTCAAATCCTGCGTCTTTCGCTGAAGATACTACCGGGTGGTTTATACAATGTGATCTATGTAAAGTCTGGCAACATGGAGGCTGTGTTGGGATCATGGATGAAGCTACGAGCCCCGAGGAATACTTCTGTGAGCAGTGTCGCCAGGACTTGCACAAAAGTACCACTACCACTAATGGGTGAGTATGCACTCTATTGCCCATGGGCTCTGTTGACAGTCCGACCCTAGACGAAAATACTCTCACTACCTGCCTATGCAGGAATCGAAGTCATCACAGTCCTCTCCAGCTCCTGCTGCTAAACAACATTCGAAAAAGTCTAGAGATGGTAGAAAACCACTTGCCAACGCGGATAATACATCGAAGGGGCGCCGCTCGACGATGAATAGCCGTGACGCCGCGTATGAAGAAGAGCAGCTCCGACGAGCAATTGAGGAGAGTAAGAGGGAAGGTGGAGCCCCATTCGCAACTACGGGCAGACGAAAGGGTAAGCGGAGTCGAAGCGAAAGCGAAGAGTGAGTCCTGCACGATTTTTCTAGGTTTCTATGCGGCGCGATGAATGTGCTTCATGAACTAATTGGAACAGGCGTAACGAAAACGCGAAGCGCCAACGGACTGCTTCAGGTTCTGCTTCCTCGGCCTCTCAAAGCAAAAGTCGTCGCCGTGATGCGGACTCGGAGAATGAAATCGAGAAGCCAGAGAAAACCAAAAACATCAGAGGCGCAGCAGCTCGAAATCACCGGAACAAAGAAGTTCGAGATCGCGAAGCTCAGCAAGAAAAGGAACGCGCAGATGCATTTGGCGGCCGCAAAGGCCGTGCAGAACGACGGCGAGGCGATGGTATTGTGCCCTGAGAGCTCATCCAGCCACTTGAATCTGCTAATACTCTTCACTCCTAGAGTCCGATCCTTCGCCTCAACCACTCTCGCGGACTGTCTCTGCCAGGGGCGCCAACACCACCAACGCCCATTTCGCTGCCCCTGCCCTTCCAGATCACCTGCCACCCAAGAGCGCACAGAAAAAGACCGGGCGACCACCGGCAAAGCGAGGCCGTGTTGGAAGGAATCAATACACTAAGGACCGTGACCTCCCTGCCGAGATGCCAACCACCACTATGTCGCCCGCGCGAAGTAACAACTCTCATGATGCAGAAAACGGAACACCACATCTCAATGGCAGCAGCACCGGCATTGGATTTGCCGATAGCAATGGGTTTGGCAAACCCTCCAAGCCGCGCCACATGAATTTCAATCGTACCAGCATGAACGACATGAAACGCCGTGTTGCCGGCATTCTGGAGTTCATCTCCCACACGCAAGTGGAGATGGCAGGGGTTGGGCCACCCTCAACGACGAAATCATCGACCAGCACAAACACTCCCCCAGAAAGCAACGACAACAGGAGCGACGGACACGGTAATGGTTCAAAGTATGATAGGGATAATGGGAAAACGGTCAACGCAGCCTTGGCAGATTTGGAGGGCGTCAATGAGCAGGCTTTCGCGGCGCTGAGTAGTGTGGCGATGATGGAAATGTTAACAAGGAGGTTGATGAAATGGCAAGCGGAGTATGGCAAATGGGGAGAGAAATGATGATATGGTTTTCGCTGTCGATATGTGGATGTGAAAAGGCGAAAGTCATCCACTGGCAAGGAGATGGCTTTCTCCGGCATTTGGCGGAGGACAAAAGTGGGAAACAAGTCATTCACATCTGGCGTCGTGTGTCTGGCGACAAAATCCTTACTCCGGCACAGGCATATAAAGGAGATACTTGGGTTCATTTCTGCAGCCTGCTCAACGTACCCTTTCACTTTATACAGAAAGTGAAGCTCGAGAATAGCCCACAAACGTTGTATATGATCAAGGGTATTTCCGATGACGGACAATGCTTCTAATGCAGTAGAGCAACTCTCAACGCCTGCGCAAATGCCTCGAGTCGCAATCGCACCAATCCTCCCATATTTACAGAAACCCTTTACTATCACTCAACATCCTCCTAATACCGTCTCCACTCTCACTGCCCCTTGCCGCATGATTACCTCTTATACTCCCGCCCCACTCGCTGCCACCACCCTTTCCACCAGCCCCTCGTTCCATTCTCAGCCCTTTCCATCCTTCCAGTTCTCTCTCGAGTCTGAGCCCCTTTTCTCTCTCCTCCCTCAGATCCCTCTCCGCTCTCCTAGCGCTCAATTGGCTCTTTGCCTCTTCGGCTTGTAGCTCGTCAACTGTCTGTAGCAGACGTTCTATCTTGTCGCGACCTTTAGCGACGTCATCTGTGAGTTGGTTGGCAAGTTTGTCGCGGCGGGCGAGCTGTGACTGGAGATCACGCACTGTGCGGTCGACGTTGCGGACGGAACGAAGGGAGGCGGAGTGTGTGTTTTCTTGGGTTTCGAGCTGATGCTCCAGCTGTTGGCACGGGGGATTATTAGCCACCTCTAAAAGGGTCTTAGACAGATCCATCATCTTACCTCATGCACTCTGCCATTCAAAAAGCGCACGTCCTGGCTAGCGTATGTGTATCCTTTTGTCTCCAAATCCACTACCCGGCCTTGCAAGTCTTTGACCGTTTTTTCCAGGCCTGCCTTCTCTTTGTGCAGAGTGACAGTCGTCTCCCTTTCGGAGACGACATCCTTCTGCATCTCCGTAGTCAAAGCTTCTGCTCTGCGCATTTTCCCGATAGCAGCGGCTGCCACATCTTCTTGCTGGGCAAGCTGAGACTTCAGGTCCAGTAGCTCACGGTCCATACCTGCAGCATTGCGCATTGACGGGCTTTCGCCACGGGCGAGATCTTCAAGACGATCACCAGCTTCGGACAAACGGGCTTCAAGACCGCGTTTCTCCTTTTGAAGCATATCTCTTTCGGCGGCGACGTCGTCCATTGAGGTACGCAAGTTACGGACCTGCGACAGAAGAGAGACGATCTTTCCTTGCGCATCATTATGAGCATTGAGCGCTTCTTCTCTTGATAATGACAAGTCTTGCAGAGTCATTTCGAGTCTCGACTTCTCTTTCGCCCACGATGAACTATTTAGGACTTCATCATCCCATTTCGATCTCGACTCTTCCAGTTCGTCCCGTATGCGTGTATTCTCGGAGCGGACATGAATGACGTTTTCGCGCTCGATCTCTAGCTCATTGGTCAGAGTTGCAAACTCGTTCTGATACTTCCTCCTGGTCTGCTCCATGGAAGTCTCTTTGTCTTCTACATCCATGGCTCGTTGGCTCCGATAGTCTTCAAGTTCATGCTGAAGTCTCTTTCTCGCTTGGAGAGCGCCATCAAGATCTGCAGCAAGATCTTCAACCTTTTCCTCGTAGTGTTGATTCTGTCGCTGCAAGTCTTCGACGAGAGAATCCATCTGCTTGCGCTCAGCCATGACTGATGCATAGGTATCCTCGCTTTCTTTCGCTTGTGCCCTGGCAGATTGTTCTGCACGGGAAGCTCTGAGCACGGCAATTTCCGCTTGTTCGAGTTTACTGAAGTACTCGTCGGCTCGCCGCTTGTAGAGGCTCAGACTCGATGCAAGATCTCCGGCTTTGGAAGCTTCTGCATCAAGTCTTATTTGAAGATCCGAAAATTCTTGCAAAAGTTGATTTCGGGATGCTGTTTCGTGCTCGTTTGCAGCAGATACTTCTCGAAGTTCGGATTTTGTATCCCGAAGTTCTACCTCTAGAGACGCACGGACATGTTTGATGTTGTCAAAATGTGACTTGGCTTCAGCCAGGTCAGCAACAGTGTTGTTGTAAACCTGGACCAAGGACTTCCGAGAGTCCTCTTGCGAATTGATGAGATCGTAAAGCTCTTCATGAGATTGCGCCTGCACGTCTCGTAGTGACAGCTCTCCAGAGTGTACTGCCCTCTCTAACGCAGATACCTTCTTTGCAGAATCATCCAGTCGGTCGTGAAGTCGGCCATTTTCCCTTTCGAGCTTCTGTACACGCCTGACTGATGGGCTATCATCCTGCCACGAATCTCTTTGCGGCGAGAAATGTCCAATTTGGCTTTGCAAGTGGCGATTTTGCATTTCGGTCATCTGAAGCTGATTCTGCACCATTTCTAACTCAGCCGCAAGATCCATCCGCTTGTTGTAGGCGGCTGTGTCAACCGTGCGATCAGAGCGGCCGGAATCATTTGTGGCGTTGCTTATGTGACGACGATCAGGAGTAGAAGTTTTGGAGTATGGCTTTAGATCAGAGACCTTGCGCAAGTGCTTTGGTGATTTCCTAGCTGGTAGCGTATTCTGATCAAGTTCCTCGAGAAGCTGACGCTTCGAAGACGAATGACGAGCATCAAGTTCCGATACTTCGCTGTCGTGTCGCCGTCGAAGCTCGGAGATCTGGTTCTCGGCGCGCCCCAATCTCTCTTCTGTCACTCGCAGAGCCTGCTTGGAAGCCTCCAATTGTGCAGCCAGGTCTGTGTAGTCCCGCAGGCGTGGAGCTACAGCTTCCCACGAGGGCACCGTCTCCTTCGATTCAGGGTCGAAGACCTTGTGCAAAAGGGTAAGCTGTCGCCGAGACTCTTGGACTTCTCCGTTGGCGCCATCGAGCATGCTTTGTAGCTTTCTGGTGTTGGCTTGAGCTTGAGTTTTGAGCTGCCTCTCAGACTCCAGATTCCGGTTGGCCTCAGCAAATTGAATGCTAACACTAGAAGAGGTCTTCTCGGCACTACGGGTTGCCTTGTGCTCCCGTTCAAGCTCGTGATTGAAATCTTCCATACTTAAAGCGAGCTTCTCTTTCTGTTTCTCCAGGGACGTAATTGATAGTTGGGCGTCATTATACTGTCGTGACAGTCTCTTATTGTCTTCGTCCAACTTTGCTTTCTCCGCTTGCAATTGGCCCATCCTAGACCTCTGCGAGTCGCCAGCTCTAGAATTTGATCTTGCAATGTCTAGGTTCTTCTGCTGAACTTTGTTCAAAAGTGCACGATTGTCATTCTCTGACGCTGTTAATCGGCCTTTGACGGTTATCAGCTCTCTCTCCAAGCGTTCCTTATGCTGGTCGTGCTGGGTACGGAAGTTGTCTGAATCAGCAATCATCTCGGTGAGAGATTGTACTTCATCTGCTAGATGGTGGCACTCGGCCTCGATTTGGTCGCATCGCGCATTCTTCATATCTAGCTCCTTTCTAAGGGTGGCTTGACGCTCATTCGCTTGCCGAGAAATGCTACGCTCCATTGCTGTCTCGGCCTGCAGTCTTGAGGACTCCGCCTCCACGAAGCGCTCACGCAGCTTTTTCAGTTCCGTTTGCAGGTCTTTACGACTTTTCTCAGCATTAGCCCGTGCTTCAACTGCACGGCGGAGAGTATCTTGTTGCACATAAAGCTCTTTCTCGATGGTTATCTTCGATTCGTTGAGATTCTGATACTCCTCCTTCAAGGCCGTCATCTTGTGATCACTTAGCATCTGGACGTCGTCCCTAGACTGTCTCTCGCGACTGAGCTCCGCCTGGACTTGGAACAGCTCCACCTTAAGATCCTCTATCTGGCCGTTCAACATCTTGCGGCTATTGCTGGCCTGTGTGTCCTCAGATAACTTGGCATCAAGGACTCTCTTGGTATCTGCTGCCTCCCTTTCTAGTTGAGCTTTTTGCGATTTGGTAGCATCAACTTCCGCCTGGATCTCACGCAACCGTGTCTGGATGTTATCATGCCGAGAAGCGAACATGCTTCGCTCCGCCTCCAGTGTCATGCGCTCGGCATCGTGCCTCTTTTGATCCGATCTCAATACAGCAATCTCGCTCTCCTTCCGTCTCATCATATCCTCGTAGCCGGTGGAAGTGGATGAGAGCTCTTGGAGTTGTTGTCGGATTTGGCGGTTGTCGTCCAAAAGATCCTTGACCTGTTTTCGTGAGAGCTGCAAGTCCTTTGCGGTTGTAGCTAGCTTGATATCCAAGTCTTGATCTATTTTGAGAAGCTTGCTCTCAAGGTCGGAGACTTTTCGTTCTTGCAAGCGCATTTGGCTCTCTAGCATCTTATTGTTCTGGATGAGTCCCTCGTGTCTATCATTTTTCTCGGTCCTAGCTCTCTCATTTTCGCTAATTCGATCGTCCAAATCGGAAATTCTGTCTATGAGGTCGTTCTTGTCGGCTTCTAGTCTGCTAATGATGTGTCCCGCCTGCTCAAGCTGGCCACGCCATTTCTCAGCTTGCTCTTCCGCCCTCTTTTTAGCATCAATGAGGTCGTCGAGCTGGTCTTCAAGGCTTTCTTGATCTTCTATCGCACCTGCAAGCTTTTCGATCAGCTCTGCTTCACGCTGCTGCAGGCGCTTGAAAATTTCCTCTTTGTCGAGCGCGAGTGAGCGTTCACTTTCCAGGGTTTGCTGAATGCGTTGGACTTCGGTTTCTGCACGCCTTCTCTCTTCTTCGAGCCTCAGTCGATCGTTACTCTCCTGCTGCACTTGGACCTCCAGCTTCTGAATCGTCTCATCGCGCTTTCTGACTTCTCCAGCAGTTTTGGTAGCACCTAGCAGAGGCTTCATCCGAACGAAGAGTCTCCACCATGGATTGTTGCAAAGGTCGCTGTAGACCGCGAAGTTACGCTGAATGATTCGAGTCGCTTCCGCTCGATACAGGCGCTTGTTTGCGATCCTTCGTTGGGTAAATCCTCTTGCGACTGATTGAAATCTAGACATGATATCCCGAATGAGAGAGTCCCGCTGCTCTTCGAGTTCTGCCAGCACGCCGGCTCTGAAGAAAACTTTCGTTAAGCCTACTCGATAAAGAGCATTGTCCAAATCCAGTTTTTCGAGCATCATCTGGGCGGCCGTTCGACCTTCAAGATAGCCCTTAGGCATGTTGCGGCAAAGAACTTCGTATCGCTGACGAAACTCTGAAAAGGGCAGTCTATTGGGGAAGCCGGTCCTGGCAATCCTTATGCCCTCAAGAACACCATTGCATCGCAGTTGGTCGAGGACAAGCGGTGCGCTGAACTGCTTAGGCCGCTTCCTATGATTCGGCAGAATACAACGCACAAAGTGGGGATGAGTGGAGTGAAGCTGATTCATCAAGCTGGAAAGTTGTTCCTTGTGTCGTTGTGCCACCGTCCTAAAGAGCCCTTTCTTGACACGACTCCTTGTTGCGCCGGCATCCTCATCAGGGTCGGCACAGTCGGTAAAGAGCGTAGCGATGTGTTTGTCATGGGAAGATGCAAGAAGCTTTGTGATGTTGTCGTTGAGCGGGTCTTTGTTCTTATCCAGCCATCCAATCGTAGAATATTCCACTTCAGCTGCGTAGTGTGTCAGGATGAATCCTTGAGCTAAACGTGACGGCCTATATTTGGGCGTCTTCCGCTCCCATAAAGAGTGCATCTTCTCAGTGAAGGATCTGTCAGTAGCTTTTGGCATGACGGAGTCTTCGTCAAGGCAGGAGAAAATTCCAATGGGGTTTGGGAGCTCAATGAGATCAATGGTGGGCTGGAGGTCCTTTCCGAAATCGATGAATTTCCACTCAATTTGCTCCCTTGCATACTCTTCTTGCTCGAGGACAAACATGTGGTGGTTGAAGAATTGCTGAAGTTTCTCGTTGGTGTAATTGATGCACAGTTGCTCGAAGCTATTCTCTTCAAATATCTCAAAACCGGCGATATCCAAGACTCCGATGAAGTGGGAATCATCAAGGCCCATACCAGTCCGGTCAAGCTGACGATTGATCCGAGACACGAGATCGCCAAAAGCTCGTTCGTAGATACCCTTCGACAAGGCATCCAAAGATGAGCGGACCTGTTCTGGCGTTTGAGCTCTCTCGACCCACTCTCTACCGGCCTTGACTTTTGGGTGAAGCAATCCTTGAATAAAAGGCTCAACGGCAATTCCGAGCAGCCGGCAGACTTTCTTGGCTTGTGCATGAGCATCTTCCGTGAGTGTGGCTTGATCGGCCCGCATGCTCTCCTTCATCACTGTGACGTTACCAAGGAGCAAAACTGCAGCGACAGTACGGAGCACAGATCGCTGCTCCTTTTCAGAAAAGCCCATGATATGGAAAGCCTCCAGCAACGAGCTCCACTCATCAACATCTGAGACTCCAGCAATCATATCGTTACCACCTCTCGTGTAGATAAAATCCTCCACTCCTAGATCAGCGATCATGAAGTCTTCCTTCATGCGTCGGTCTGCCCCTCTAAGCAATTGGTAGAACACGTGATAATTTCTTTCACTGGAGTTGAGCTTTACGACTCGAGATTTCTCTAGCAGATACCAGTCAATGAAAGCTCCTGCGATTTGTCCTGACCGTGTAAACTCAATACGAATGAATTTCCCGAAACGTGAAGAATTGTTGTTGCGTACAGTCTGGGCATTCCCAAAAGCCTCTAGAATCGGGTTGGCCCTCAAGATCTGCTGCGAAAGGTTAGAGAATTGCCGTCCTCCAGATTTTACCCCTGGAGAGTCAGAAGTTGCTACGGCTGCAAGATATTGAATGACTTTCTTAGTGTTCTCAGTTTTGCCAGCACCTGACTCGCCACTGATCGAAGCATAAGCGGAGACTGGATAATCGATGTGAAAGACACCTACGTGACCAAAATGCTCTGATTCTCACCCTCCTCGATCAGATTCCGAAAGGCACCATCAGCCATGGCATATATGTGAGGTTTTGTATCTTCCCTGCTGCGCCCCTTGTACATCTTCATATAATCGCTGGTGTAAATAGGCAGGGGACAGTACGGATTGACGGTGACCAAAAACAAGCCAGAATAGGTCTGGTGACATCGATTAGCTGAGCCTCAAATCGTCGCTCGGATGACTAACATAGATCAAATCTGCTTGATATCTCATATGGAGATTATGGACCACAGAGGCCTCATTCAAGTGAGTGAGCTCTGCCATATCATCTGCCTTGTCGAACTTGGCAGGATTTACTTTATCAACGGTCTCGGAATCGACCTCTCGTTGCTGAGTCACTGTCAGCAATCCCTGCAAGTTCAATTGAATGTTTAGCCACCTTACGCTCCCGTCGTCACATTGCACAAGCAAACGGCCTCCAAGAAGCTCCTCGACTACCCATCCTCTCACGAACGCTGACTGTGGGTCTCGCAGCCAGACGTAACGTTTTCCAGAAAAGTCGTTCTCGCCCTCGATTCCGCCAATCTTGTCACCAGCCCTTTGAGATTCTTCGGTCTTAATGAACTTTGGTGCAAAGGTGTTAGATAATTGGTGAGTCGTCCTGGTTGAAGTCGATCTCTGCATCGCCGGCTGTAATGATGCAAAGCTTGATCCACTCGGAGGAGAAAATGACTGGTTTCGATTATGCGTTGCAGGGGGTCCCGTGCCCGAAGGCGAGGTAATGATAGCGGATCTGGGTCTTGTACTGGGCACCGCCAGGCCTGGCGAAGGGGAAGGTGAACCTCTGTCGAAAGCATTGTTGCGCCATCGGGCGCTGACAGGACCTGTTGTTGACATGCTGCCGATCTCCCTCTGCCAATTTTGTTCGACCAAACAGCAGCAAATCAAATCGCACGTAAAGACATGATACTATCACGAGTGAAAACAGATCAGTACAGCGGCCGTGTTCTAGTAAGTGAGCGAAAGGCGAACACAGCAGGCTCAAAACAGCTTGCTCTTCACCAAAAGGCAGAAAGTAAACACAACGATTAGTTAGCTCTTGCAGGGGTAAGGTAGAAGCAACTCGCGTCGCGCTTGCCAAGGCTGGATTGGCTCGGCGCTGAACGGGCCGAGAGTTTATTTGAGGTTCTCGAATCTGCAAAAATGCGAGCGACCAGCGAAGTACGGAGTACGGTACTTTTAGTCTAACCTACCAAGCCTAACTTATAAAGTACCTTACTTTGCCTACAACGACACGACACTATTCTCAATTCTCAAGTCGCTGATGTTATACCTTTGCCTCTGAGCTACGCATTCACTTCTTCACTCCTTCACTTCTTCACCACTATTCATCAGCTTCACTTCCCTCTTGATCCAGTCAGTTTCGACACTCACTCCTGCGAATCCCGGTGGCGTCTTTCTCCTTGAACCGTAGATTCCTATCAGTCCTCGTTTCCTCCTCGTCCACCATGCGCGCTGCTCTGCGCAATCTCCTATGTACATTCAAGTGCTCTCTGAACGCTTTGCGACTAACCACCAGTGAGCTTCGACCTGTCACATCCTCTTGACCCATGAAGCTAGCCATTCGCCATGTCGAATTATCCTCGTCCACCTACATTTGGGACCCCTTTCAACCCTAACGTCCACATGGAACCTCCAGTTGGCAGCTACGATAATGGTCTACCTCAATACCCGTATCCATATCAAAATGCTTCGTCTCTGTATGGCCAAGGCCAAATGAATGGTATGCCTATAGTACCACATACAAATGCGAATACCCATTCCTTTCATTCAAATACTCAAGGTGTGACAACACCCAGCTCTGGGAACGAAATCTATGGAGCCCCATACCCATCTCATGGTGGGCAAATCCAATACAGTGCCTTTCAATCTCCAGCATTCCCTCCAACGCCGTCTGCGCATGGTGTGCCTTCTTACGAAGCTCAAAACTCTACTCAACCTTCCACAAGTTCAAATCTTCCTTCAAATCCTGGTACTGTCTTCTCAAATCTTCAGGCTGCCGCGGAGGTCCAAAGCACGAACATTAGGGACTCAGATACGGTTCCACCTGCATTGTCCGAACTAGAAGACGGCGAACTTGACGACGGAGAAATCGAGAAATCAACCCGTCATTCAAGAGCGAGTACGGCGACCTTTTCAGGAATGGCGCAACACAAGCGACATGAGGACGAAGACCCTGCAGACAGAGAATCCGGTCACCGTGTTGCAAACGCTCCAAATAAACCGCTTCCTGGGCTCATTCGAGGTATTTCCCTGCCGCTCGACGCTGGTTGACAGGTCTGACTTCATATTCTAATATTCTTTGCCCCAGACTCGCTTGCTGCGCCAAATTCTCCGCGCTCCACTGCATCGCAACCTCGCCCATATCCCATGCGGAACGGCTTCATCAATCATCTAGATGATCCTCTGTTTTCGCGGACGGCAGAGAACACATCAGCCCAGCCTCAGCTGTCAATGGATACCGTTGCACAAGGATCTAAGGAAGCAAGTCTGCGATTGGTAGATCAAAAGATGGACGAAGCCAAACAAGCATTACGAGACTTGCATTCGGAAGGGTTTGACTTCAACCGAATTATCAATGCGGGCTTGAATCCTGATATACTCCGGAAACTCTACACCAATATCGGGCTACCAGTCACAGCTTCTTCAAATCTACTGCAACAGAAAATCATGAAACCACGAGTTGGCGCTAGAGACGTGCCGACTGAAAGCACACCAGGTGAGGCAATTGTGGGCATTCACGACCAACATCCCAAACCGCCACAGAGAGGCTCAAATGACAGCGTCCTTGGCGATGACACGTTTCCACATCTGGTAAACGAGGAAGGCAAGATCAACAGCCAACCCACTGTTGCAGCGAACAAGAACGAGGAGAAGTCAGTGCAGAGTCAAGCCAGCTCAGCGAAACTATCGAAATCCTCGAGTTTGAATCCATTAGGTAAAGCTACCGGGATCAAAGCTGGCGAGACAAAAATACTCGATCGCAAAGAATATATTGCCCGAATGCTAGCAGCTAAGGCTGGCAAGCCCACCGTCAGCGCCACTACCCCTGTGTCCCCTAAATTATCCACTATCACAGACTCGGGAACATCTGCTCAAGTCCAGTCGTCAGACGCTGCCTCAGCGATTGTTCCGGCTACCGCTCAGCAAGCACCAAGTGAATCGGTCGATACCGCACAGGGAATTCAAAACGAAGATTCGGATGTAGAAGCGAAACGAAAAGCTCAGACAGATCTAGCACGTCAGAAGATTGAGGCACTAAAATTTCGTGAGAGCATTCAACAACAGGCTCGATCAACAACCAGCAGTGATGCAATGAGACACAGTCAGCAACCTCTCGCCAAAGGTGTTCCAAACATCCCAGCTGAAAGCTCTATTCCAACATCTCGACCTGTACCCAGTCGCCAAAGCTCTTACTTTTCGCCAGCAAGCCAGAAGCCCCCCTTTAGCATCCCGGGACTGTTTATGACATCAGGTGCTCCGGAACCTGTAAACCCTTCGCAACCACTCGCGAACGAGGGCTTCGCAGTCTCACCGCAGACAGTCGGTTTAGTCACCTTCGTTGCGTCAAAGCAAGGCTTTCGTCCACACGCTGCGGTCTCGGCTCAGTCTCCAACTACAGATGAGACACCGCGATTACCCGAAACTTCCTTCGATCTGAAATTTGCTTTACCAGCCACCATCGCAACAACAGTTTCACCCAACCGAAAGCGCCAGAAAGCTTCTGACTTCATCGATTCACCTTCCACCAGGGTAAAGAGACCACTGGGGCAGCAAGAGGATACCAGTGTCATTATAGACATTAGCGACGATGAGGTGAGCAATAACACCTCGGGAGATGAATCCTTAGACACAGACATTGCCGGTCGTCGGGATTCTCTATCAAGAAATTCTCAAGTCATTGCTCCAGGCAATGGCAATGAGAGACTGGTCAAGAGCCTGCCTCCGCTGACTGATTTTCCGCCACGCAAGAAAACAGTTGTTATGACGCCTCCTGCTGCGCAAGTCTCGGGGCAAAGTGGCGATCTGAAAGGTCTAAAATCGAAGGAGATGGAAATCGAAGTCATGAATCGCAAAATTGCTGAGCTCGAGCAGCGTATCGCTATTAAGGCAAAGCAAACTACAAGCCGCACTCACAGTCCTGGAAATTGCAGTCGCGTGACAACTTCACCACCTCCAGGTGAAGCTCCACATCAGAGCAACGGCACACCGAATACGCCCTCGAGCATCTCAGACTCACGGAATGGCGATATCGCACCTGTCAAGAACGGAGAATCGTTCGCTACTCTCGCTGAAGGAAATGATTCCACAGCAGAAGAGGAGCTCAATGCAGAGCAACAGTTAGAGGAAGTCGAACTAGCAAAGGCCGAGGCTGAGCGTTCCTTGGCCGCGGAGATTTCTCGAGCCTCGGCAGCGGACCAATCGCTTACGCAGATTGAGAGAATGCAAATTCCACAAGCAGAGGAGCAGTCGAATCTGCGGGGAGAGGAGCAGCGACTCAAAGACGAAAAGCAGAAGCGGCTTCAGGATGAGGAACAGCGACGTCTGGAAGAAAGCCAGAGTCAGCAAGCGCGCGAACAAGACAACAATAATCTACGACAACAAGAGGTAGACCACCATCTTCAGGAGCAAGAACAGAGGCGGGCGCAAGAGGCACGACTGAAGCACTTGCAAGAGCGAGAACGGAAAACATCCCTCGGCAACCAACGGCAGGCTCGAAAGACCGAAATAGAGTCTGGATTGCCACTCCTCGATGCCGAAGTAGAGAGGACAAGAATAAGGCTTGAGTCCTTACGACAAGAAATAGTAGGTCTAGAAACTGAACTCCAGAAAGGCATCGAAGGCAGGCAAGTTCTGATTGAAGAGCTTAACAACTTGTCGCGATCTGGAGAGGCCCTGCCTAGGCCTATGGATCTCGATTCTTGTGACGTGGGGGACATACCAAATCAATCAACAAGCATCCAAGAAATACCAGGTAAGTGCGCCTACTTATCAAGGCCGTCGATGTGTTCAAAGTAACACAGATTGATTGGGATCTCTTTTGTTAGCTTTGACGAAACCCGCAGCGTCAGTTGAGACAGTCCCCGACTTGGATTCAATACAACTTTCGGGCACTGCCGGGGCCGGGAACGGTAGGGTGGTGCAAGACAAGTCGTCAACGCGGACGGCAGACATTCGGATGTCAGATGGAGAACTCGAGGAAGACATCATGGAAATGTCCCGTAGCGATGTCGACGAAGCCGAGCCCTCTTTTCACAGCCCGAAGCCCTTGACTGAGGTTCAGGACACTTCTGGTTCTATCGACGACGACGAGACTTATGAGCCGCCCAGTGAAATAAGTATAACGCAACGACAGGAGCCAGAACCTGATGCTGTCCCGGACCTCGGAACAGCGAAGACCGATCGACCAGCCGCAATGCATAATCCGCTTCCTGCTGACCAGGAGGCTGAGCCTATAGGAAAGCCGAGTTCGGTTGAGCCATCACCCGCCGCCAACGCTGGTATGGCGGGTGACGAGCAATCACAGCGATCACTAAATCGTAGTCAGTCTCTGGCTGATGCTAGTGACCCCGATGATTATGAACCGCCCGAGCCAGCACCATTAGGTGAAGAGGTACCGCGGCCTACTGAGATATCGAGCGTCGATTCGGAGAAATCCTTTTCTCCACCTGATGTTGATAGTCATGATTTCATTGCGCCTGCGAGCTTCGACTCAACACCAGCCGTTCATCAACAGGTGAGTGTGGATGCCATTACAATCGGAGCTGGGTCTCACAGTGTAAGATATCGTTCTTCTTCGCCGAAGCTCGCTGAATCAAACCAGGTGCAAAAGCTTGAGTCCAACCGCAAAACGGGACATTTTACCCCATATGAAAGTCCCTTGAAGCAATTCAAGTCATTTCGGTATCATCCTCAGTATCTTGAGGAAGTCTCCAATGGCTTTCGATCATTGACTTATAGTCATACTATCAATCCAGAAATTCCACTTTGTCGCTATGAGTTAGACGGCGTATGCAATGATGATTCTTGCCCGAGTCAGCATTTGAGGAGCATTGGTTTGAGTGGTGCGTTAATTGAGGCTTGATTGCGTGTACTTCTCTGCTGCTTTTTTCGTATTGTTCCGTGGTTTATCGGTACTCGTTTCACAACTCCATGAAGTTCGCAAGCTGACTCAAGGTTCATCACTCTCGCAGATGACAAGATCCTTGTTGATTTGGGAGCTAAACCAGACGACGGCTCCTCGCCTGACGAATTCGGCAATGGCTTGCGAGAGGTCATCCACGACATTCGTTCCAGGAAGATCAGAGATTTCAACATCGTGGCAGGAGAAATAACCGCATATCGTGCCAAGTTCCTCGGAGACCGCTCCAAGGTTTTACCCTTGTAAGCAAGACTCGTAGACGAACGACAATTGAGCATGACTGTCTTGGTGTTGAGGAGAGACAAAATGCCTAAGCTCGGGAAGACACTGCCAAATTGGCATCACGTTGTCGCCGACTGGTATCTTTTATGAATCTACAACTTGGATTCCTGCGTAGCCCATGGGCATTTCATTTCTTTGTGTGTGTGACAAGCATAGCGCGGACCTAGCGCATGCAACATATTCGAAGATACCCAACCTAATCGAAGGGTCTTGACGTTATTGCAGAAAGAGCGGGACCGATAAATGAAGGTTGGCTTGCAGCAGGAAGAATCATCTAGGTACCAGCATACTGAGATGTTGGGAAAGGGTGTGGTAGGGGGTGGAGACGCTAGGGATACATATGGGAAAGGTGACCTTGCAAGAGGATTAATTGCTTTAGCTGTAATCATAATTCTTGACAATCTTATAATTCAAGCATTTCCCTCGCATAGCGCATGGTGCCTGAGCTGCGTGCATTCACGTTCTCTCGGCTAGAAGGTACTGGATTGTCCCGTTGATTCGCACCTGCATGCCAAGAGTGCTAAAGGATAAAGGGATCCTTCGCATGCAGATTCAAGCACCCAATCAATCAGAACCCGCATGCACGTGTGCATATGGAGGAGGCCCAGGTTCTGACTGTATCTCATCATGCTCGGTCGGAAGAGGAAGGTTGTAGGGAATTGACATTGAGCATGGGAGAATTGTAGCCTGCCATTGGCAGGGTCTGTTGGCTGTGGGATTCTTTTTTTCCCCCGAGGAAGACGCATTACTTGCCGGGGAAACAGGAACCAGGTGGGCCTACAGCCTTGGCGGAAAAGGGCAAGAAGGGAAAGATGGAGAAAAAAGAATGACATATAAGAAGGAGCTCAGGGAAAGAATAATGGAGATGTATGAAAGAAGGAATAAAGTCGTAGGGGAAAAGGCTACTTCCTTCCTTTTGCAAAGCATGCCTCAATTCCTAATCACCCTTGTCTTTGCAGGTGTGGCGGTAGCTAGCTACGCATCCAACATTAACTATCGAAGTCCCTCTCACAATCATCCCGGCCTCGGTGTCTCAATTCACAAGGTATGATGGGTGGACGGATTCATCACTTATCTACTTATCGCCTTACGCCCATGCCAATGACTGTGTACACAGGTTAACAAGCGAAACAATGGTTCTTCTCCATACCCTGGAGCCTTGAACTTCACTCATGGTGTCGCTTCTGGAGACCCATTCCCCAACTCGGTCATCATTTGGACAAGATGCGCACCAATCCAAGATGATGTCAACGACAACTCAACTGTCTCGGATTATGTACCCTTGTATAACCCAGTTCCGATATACAGCGAAAGCGAGATTGCTCCTCCGTCCACCGCTCCCGTTTGTGTCAGCTACAAGGTTGCATCCGATAATGCCTTTGCAAAAGTTGTGGATTCTGGCCTGGCGTATACTACGTCCGATGTGGATTATACCCTTAAGGTAATTTCATTCTTGCTTAGCCACAAGAGACATTAGGATTAATGGGATCAGATCGAAGGCTTTCGTCAAATATCTCTTCGAAGCCTTGCCTGGCGCCTTTATTCGGTGAGTGCGGACTCAATTGCTGCCTTCCAACCTTGTTAGGGCTGCTTGGGCCAAGCTTCAAGGCATTTTCGAAAACATCTGGAAGTTCATTGGCCCCTGGAGGAAGCTTATTCTTGCTCGGACTGCCTTGAGGGGTGGCATGCGGAGATGTGAACCCGGCGCTGGTTGGCGTGTGCGGTGGCTCGTAGATGTCATTAGCGGAACGAGTGTGGAGAAGAGGAGGTGGCATGGGCAAGGTGAAATTGGGTTTGCCTTTACCCAGAGGTGATGGTGGAGGTGCAATGGCCGCCATGCCGTGAACGGTTGTTCTCTGGTCAGAGGTTGGCAGCAAGGGCTAACACCAGGCAACCCGACGGGCTGGCTTGGTTAGAAGTAGAGCTCTAACAGAATGGTAGGATGCTGAAAGACGTGCTCTGATTCTGGGCAGGGGGATTGGCAACGCTGTCTGTCCTGAAAGAAGAGCAGGTACAAAGCTGGTGCAATTGTGTGGTTATAATATTTGCCTTAGATACCTACTTTACTTAATGTACCTTAAGTAAGGTAATGTTTTGATTTCCCTTGATTCATGCCGTTGGCGGCGCGACACTAGCCTAAGCGCCTCGGCATTTGCTCGGCTAACACTGCGATAGTAACTCACTCCTTCCATCCTTAATCCTATGATTCCTATCACTACATTAACACACCATGCTATAAAACTTCCTCGATACCGCGTCCCTTTTTGGAGATGAGTAGGTAGGATTGAGTCGGCTACTCAATTGCTGAGGTCACATGTTATCATCTGTCCAGAGGCCAAAGAAGTCTTGGCTTACAATCCAGCTAGAAAGATATTTCATGCCACTGTAGCATCTCTCATCATGCTTTTCGTGTGTGTGAAGGCCACCGTCGACTGAAAGAATCCCTTCTGATGCCCCATTGCGTCACATTGACAAGATCTATGGTTCCAAACTCGCCGCTCTCTACTGAGCAATGAGCATAGAAATGCCCATCACAGCCGTATTCGAAATCGCACTTCGTTCCATGCAGTCTCTTCACTCTTGCCCTTATCAACATGTGTATCAATGCTATACCAATGATGAAGTAATGACTTGCTCTTGTGAGATGGTAAACGCAGGCTTCAAAAGCGCTCCAAATGCTCGACAAGCTTAAGTTGGTCCGTAGCTCCTCTTCGACTACTAGAGTATGGCGCGTCATATTCCATTTCCTCCACCTCCTTCTCTCCTTCATACAAGGCCCAAGTTCAGCTGCCAAATCTTCCTGTATTTGTCTCCTCCGACTTCCTTTATCCAGGACATCCTGGCTTTTTCATCATCTCCTTTTAGAAAAAGCTCTCCAGTGATCATCTTCCCGTCTCCACGCCATGTTCTACAGCCACGAAAGTACGTTTCCAATGCCATTACGAGTTCGAGAGCTTGCCAGCTAATTATCCTCCGCTTGCAAGTCCTCACATCTCGTGAAGGAGGCGTCGCGACTGTGTGGTACGTACTTACTCTCCCATTCAGATTTGAATCTCAGCATGCAGCTGACATCGACAGGCTTGTCGCGACGCTTGGGTCTCGGTCGAACACCAAAAAGATCAATCGAAAGGCTATCCTTGACGTCGACATCCCGAAGACATGCAGCATCATCATCCAACCGGAAGCGCCAATGGCATTGAGATTGCAAAGCAACTTGCTGTAGGTTCCCAGGATGTGGGCATCTTGAAGCCTGCTCATACTCTTCACAGCTATGGTGTCTCTCGCGTCTTCTCCCAGCAATGTGGCTATGTATTGTCCGACGCGCAAATTGCCCAGAGTAACATGAGAGCGCTCCTCAAAGCCGTTCGTACCTCGGAGTTAGATCCTAACGCTGGGAAAGCGCGGTAAGTTCGGGTCTTTGAACAGTGGACTTGCACTGAGGACACTGGCAGCTCCGACCAGCTCGTCATTCAAGATGACCCAGCGTTCCTCCCAGATCTCGCCCTTCCGGGACTCGACATTGACTTATCTGCGCTCGATATCTCTACGGACGACTCTTCTCGCCGTTCCAGCATACTATCACCCCATTCACAGCGCTCTAGCCTTTCAAGCCATGCTGAAGCTGACGAGTCAATGCTCGGCCTCGTAATACCTAGCTCTGGTAGCGGAGGTGCTGGAGACCTGGGCGGGTTCATCCTTCCGGGTGAGAATGTCAGCTCAGCTCAACGTAGTGCACGGATCGGCCGTCTGTTGGACGACGAAGACGAAGGCTTTAACATCGATCCCGGCTTCACCATTGACGCCGATGGCAATTTGGTGGAAGAGCCTACTCCTGGACCAGGTGCTGCTCTGGCTGGCGGCATACGGCTAGGCAGTGATTCTGCCGCCAGTGCTCGTGTGCGTCAAGAACTAATGGAAGGTCACCAAGCTGGCCGATTGGAGGTAAGTCTGACTCCCAAATTAAATCGAGCAGACGACTCATCCAATAGTAGCCCGGTGCAATGGACCTCGACCTTGACCTTCCCCAAATCGACGACGACATCGTCCTGCCTGACGCCGAGGCTTTTCCAACAACCGCACTTCAAGCTCCTGCCGGCTCTGGAATCCTCGGTCCTTCGTCGGGTGTACATGAAGAACAAGAATCGTCTGAGTCTGCAGATGCTCCTCTGCAGCATAGGCGTCGAACACCTAAAACATTGCCAGTGGATGAAATGCAGGAGCTCCACAATACTGACCTCACCCAATGGAAGACCGACTACCTTGCGAACATGGCCGAGGCAACCGCAGCCAAAAGGAGCCACAAAGCTCCTGTCCTCGCAAAGAAGAATGCTGCTTTCTGGGTCGTCGGAGCTGGCATTGGCGGTGTAGGTGCTGGATTAGGCAGCTCAAAGCTCCAAAGTCCTCTGGATATGTTTGCAGGCGAAGCCATGATGGAAGCTTTGACAGGCGTCAGAATCTCTATCGCTGGACAGAAGAGAGGACGTGATGACGAGGAAGACCACGACTCTGGTAGCGAAGCCCGACGCGTACGGATCAGAGACGGCGACGGGGCTCAGATCGGCCGTGGAGGCGACATGATGTTGGATGACGACGGGACAATAATGATCTCAGGCAACGACGTATGCATGAGTACCGTCAGTGGATCTTTTTCTTCATTGACCATTTCTAGGAAGTCGAGGTTGGGCGTCATGCTCCGCCAGCACTCGAAGATCCTTCTATGCCATGGAATATCAGCTCAGCCATCGGCTCTCGTCAAGGCTCCGTCATCCGTGGTCGTGGCTTCGCCGGCAGTATTGGCGGGTTCCCTACGAGTGCTGGCGCTCCTAGCTCTTTACCACCCGTTGCTGCTGGTCCCAGCTCACAGGATAGACGCGCCAGTCGAATCCTCAGCGCCAGTCCTCTCCTCGGCCGCGGGCGCCAACGTTACAGCAGTCTTGAAAACTTTCCTGTTGAAGATGATGACGAGCTTCTCGGTGGTCGCCAGATCTCTGATGATCAAGCCCTTGACGACTTCCAGCTTTATGGTCCCGCTGCCGCCGTTGATACTCAAACAGCTGGACAGTCACAATGGATGAGAGCAACACTGAATCAAGAGGCCAACAATTTCCTAGAATTCGTCAAAGCCGAAATCACGGCCCTTCCCGCCCATGCAAGCGATGATGAGGATGAGCTTGCCGGAGATGGTCTTTCAAAGTTTTCCGCGTCCTTCGAACGATTACTGCCGCCTACACAACACAGTAAGATCGTCGCAGCTCAAGCACTGCACCACCTTCTCGCTCTTGCCACGAAGAGCCTGATCACTGTTCGTCAAGTGTTGCCGTATGGCTCCATTGATCTCAGCCTGCCAGCTGGGGTCTGAGCCCCATCGTGACCTCTCTACCGCCCGCGCGGGTCAGGATACGAGCTTTCGGACTGGATCAGAGAGCCGGTACCTTTTTCATTGTTTCACTAACCAAAAGATCTCAACGACATCTCCCGTGGCTCGGTTTTGCTTGCACTTTGCTCATGTTGCTACATCTACGACATTCTAGCGTATACCCCAATCATGTGAGACATTGCTATCATGTACCAACAAAGACACTGTATCGCTAGACAATGGCTATATAATACATTCTAAAAAAAAAACTGAAGTACTTGGCTTGTTTCCCACTTAGATTTTGAATTGCTTTGAGGGAAATGTTCCGCGGCTGCTTACAGGAATTGGTCTTTCTGACGTCCATGCATCGACCTGACAAAGTTGTTTCTGAATACAATTTGCGGGAATGTTCGCATTTCAATAATATCGCGAGGTGGTTCTACAATTCTTTCAGTGTCCCTTTACACTAAAGAATAAAGATTCCCGGCACCGGGCCTGTTTTTCCGCTCATGACGTTGGTGGGGTTTTTGCGCCGAAGATTCAATTGATCACTCTAATAAACAGCTCCACTCTCAATTGCCCTACTTCATCATTGGCTTCACATCTCCACACGCTATCATTCACACAAAGAGTCCTCAAATCGTAGAGACTCTTGGTTCTGCGTAGCTATGCCGAAAGTTCAGGAGCACCCCGAGCAACCCGAGGGCGGCCGCAAGTATGGCGCCTTCCAAGCGGTAAAACTCCCCCTTGAGCTGAATGCAACCGGAAGCTAACGAAGACCAATTGGGTAGGAAATCTACGAGGATGGCTTGCTCAAGAACAAACTACCAACCGTGACCACCGATCCAAACAAGCTTGAAGAACAGGCAAAAAAATATCTTGGTGCTAGAAGTTTCAACTATGTTGCTGGTGGAGCCGGTGAGAAAAGTACGATGGATGCGAACCGGCTGGCATTTAGACAATGGAAGGCACGGTTCACCTCAATCATACAATATGGTTCAATGGCTGACAATCACCGACCAGATGATTCCCCGCATGCTCCGGCCCACCACACACCGAGACTTGAGAGTCGAACTCTTCGGTCACAAGCTCGAATCACCTCTTCTCATTGCTCCGGTGGGCGTTCAGACCATCTTTCACACAGACAAGGAGCTTGGAGTGGCAGAAGTCGCGACCGAGATTGGAGTTCCATATATCCTCAGCACAGCGTCGAGCGCCAGCATCGAGGACGTGGCCAAAGCAAGTGGGGATGGTGTGCGATTCTTCCAACTATACTGGCCCCAAGACGATGATCTCACCGTATCAGTACGTCGCCCAGACATCTGTAGACTGTTTGGCTTCAGTGCCTGACACAGTTTTGTACAGCTCTTGCACCGTGCAAAGTCTCATGGCTACAGCGTCCTCCTTGTAACCCTGGACACTTGGACTCTCTCCTGGCGCCCTGCTGATCTCGACAATGCATATGTACCTTTCGCCTCAGGGATTGGAGACCAAACAGGCTTCTCTGACCCAGTCTTCCGCCGGAAGTTCAAGCAAAAGCACAACATTGAAGTTGAAGAAGACATCCTACAGGCAAGCCGCGAATGGGAAGCAGCCGTATTCAGCGGCGCCGCCCACACGTGGGAGCAATTGGAGCTGCTGAAGAAGGAGTGGGATGGCCCAATCGTCTTGAAGGGAATCCAGCATGTTGAAGATGCGAGGATGGCAGTCCAAGCTGGAGTTGACGGGATTGTGGTTAGCAACCATGGCGGACGACAGCTGGATGGAGCCATTGGGAGTTTGGAAGTGCTACCAGAGATTGTGGAGGCTGGTACGTGCATTTCGGAGCTGATACTTCCTACGTGGTATTGAAATTGAGTCGCAAGACATGTTTCGGGAGCAAGAGGACCTTTCTACTCCAGAGACCTGTCTTGCAATTCCATTACCTACTTCGACCAAGCAATGCTAACTCGGAAATTTGCGTAGTTGGGGATCAGCTTACGGTTCTTTTCGATAGTGGTATCAGGACAGGCGTTGATATCATCAAAGCTTTGAGTTTAGGGGCGAAGGGCGTGCTGATCGGCAGGTGAATCATTCCCCCGCGTCCTGTTCTTGCATAACAGTCCAGCTGACGTCTACACTCAGACCCTTTGTATATGGCCTGGCAGTAGGAGGGAAGCTTGGTGCTCGAGATGTCGTCCGAGGCTTGTTAGCAGTAAGCATTCCTGGTTCCCTAATATGCGTCGGAGCACCGTTCTCAACCAATGCGCAGGACCTCGACCAAAGTATGGGCTTAGCCGGCATTCAGAACATAGCGGACTGTAACCGGTCAATGATCCGCAAGGTGCAGTATGGAGGCGACAAAATATCGAACTATTAGCTGGAAGTATGACCGAAACAGACAGCACCGAAGCAAACGAACAAAGAAAGCGAGCATGCAATCCTGATGACAGCGATGGTCGAGGACACTATCCTCGATGCGCGCGGAGGGTCAGTAAAAGTTGGACTGCACATAAGCAAGAAGGCTCCATAGCCAATCCAATATGTACGGAGTAATCTCCCACCAATTCTCGCGAAGATCAGTCCAGTCGCCTCGATAAGAACATGTCCTCATTCTATCAGTATCAACCCTTTGTGCGGGTCCGTGTCCATCTGATTTCCCTCGATGTAAACACCACCTCTCTCTGCTCTCATTTACCTTCTTGCGCCTCTCACACACCCTCTTTTCATCCTCGAAGATGTTTCTCCCGACCGGTCTCCTCCTCTCAATCCTCCTCCTCGTCTCCGCTTCCGCCCCACCCCCGCAACATATCCTTTCCAACCCCCCTCTTTCTCCACCGAATACCGTATCCCCACAGTCCACCAATCCGCCGTACTAGCCCGTCGGATACTCGGCCTATCCTCCATCGCCACCCTCTCTACCGTCTTCCCCGCCACCTCCTCCGTCGAGGATGATTTCTCTACCCTCTCACACCCCGCCTCAGACCTCGGCGGTGTTCCCATAGGTCTAATGGATTACTACGCCTCCTGCTCCCCTCAAACTTGCAATCCTACAATCCTCGCAATCAGCATCGCCACCACCTTCCGCAATACACGCGCCGGCTCCAATGTCACCCTCTCATTGCGCTGGCATCCTCCAATTACAGCGCCGCCTAGTGACGATATCTACACGTATTCACCGGCTAACATGCCGCGCTTCAGCCTGGTTGGTTATATCGAGCCGGTTCCTACGTCCGAGGTTCTGTCCTATGATGTGGAGGCTTGCTTCCTGAACAGACATCCAGATGCCGAGGCGTGGCTGCCGGGTAACAAGATCCATCAGAGCTGGTGGGGAAGATTGGTCGTGAGGGAGGTGTATTGGATTGGCGGTTTTGGGGATAGAGCATATATTGGCTGGATACCCGAGGGAGAATGGAGTGGTGTCAGTGAAGATGAAATTGCAAAGGCGAGGTTGGTTGGGGAGGACGGGTATGAGAAGTATACCGGCTTGGTAGAGCAGGAAGTGCTTGAGTTATGAAGAGATCGAGACGACGCCAAGTGCCAGACGTTCGAGAGACCCTACGACAAAGTGAAAGTGCCTTGGACCCGGAATTTGTGGGACTTTCGGGCTCGCCTGCAAAATTGCAGAACCTCATGTCACACTTCGCTAAGGGCTTCGTCGAGCAAGGCAGGCATTCATTTGACGCAAGGAATGACGTCCAGGACGGAAATCAACATGGCATGGACAATATGACGGGATGAAGACTCACGATAGGAACACGACAAGGCTGCCTAGTCTACGAGACCAATGCAATGATGCCGTTGTTTTGAGGAGAGACAGGTGTCATTGGAGATGAGGTGTACGAAGGTTTTTTGGGAGTTCGTATGTGTAAGAAAGCAAGAACAGAACGTCACAGCCACATCGCACTCTGTAGACTCCGGCGTTCAAGACAGATCAATACTTAATGTATCATCATCTACCTACTGTAAGTCCTCGCTGACCTCTTCTACCATGACTCGCTTTGGTCCATGGCCCTCCTCTCCATCTGCCTCCACCATCTCCATCTCTCGCCTGAATTGCTCTTCCTCCTCTTCCAGCCTTCTTCTTTCTCTCTCGTCCTCCGCATCTACGCCGTCAATCTCAGGCGCAGCATCAACAACAGGCCTTCCCCTCACGCCATCCCCGAAACTTCTCCCGCCAGCCCCATAACCCTCCTTCTCCAATTTCTCCACCTCCTCCTCTTCCAACAACTTGGCCCCAACTCCTTTGGTAGCATCAATCTTCCTCTTCACAGCATTCGGGACGAACCTCGCCGTAGCCTCCTTCCTCAAATCCCTGACCACAGGCTTGCTCTCATACGTCGTCTTCGGCGCCGGTTTCGCCGGTAACGTTGTATCCGGCACCTCGGCTTCTGCCCCCTCACGACTCTGTAGCCTCCGTTCAGCACCCAGCGGTTCGCTGTTCGCGTTCGTAGGATGCCTCGGGCGATCCTCCCTTCGCTGTCGTGGTACAGGCGGCGGTGTGTCCCTCGGCCAGGGTATCTTCCTCACACTCTCATCCGTTTCCCCACCACTGCTCTCCTCTTCCTCCCGATTCCTCTTCCCCAGCCCCCCGTAGCCTCCTCCCCCTCTCCTACCGTCCCCTCGGCCTCGCGCTTCGCCTCCACCCCTATGACTGCTGAATGTAGGAGCCTTGTCGCCCAATACCTCCCTTGCCTTCTTCACCCTCGCAACATCCCGCTCTGCTTCCTCAAGCTGCCGCTGATCCCTGGCCGAGAGTTTTCCGCCTTGGCTTTCTTTCAGAGCGTGAAGGTCTGATATGGTCGATTCGAGACGGCGGGGATTACGAGAGGCGTAGCGTTCGGTTCGTTGGGCTGCTACGGCTGCTTTGCCTGAAGGGAGAGGGGTCGTCAGTTAATGCGATTGGACAAAGTGGGAGAGGTGGAAAAGGGCAAGGGTGAGGTCGAGGTCGAACCTTTCTTGAGGGCTTTCTGCTTTTCGAGCTTCCGTTGTTGGGCGGCCGGGTTCTGAGCGCGGTCTTTGTCTTTGGCCATGGTCGAAGACGTGGAAAGGGTTTATAATAATTGAGATAATGGTTCTCAAGGGCGTGGTGAACAAAGGGTGGTGACCAGATGCGGGCCGGTTTAGAGCGCTGCTCTGTTTGGTAGGAGTGATATGTATTGGATCATGGTTGCAGAGTGATTTTGGAATAATCATGGAGATTGAGTAGATGATATATGAATCTATTTCACTAGAAGCCATGAGCTGAAGGGGAAAGCCGCCAATCTACGTGTCGAATCACCAAAAGTAGGAGCATAAATGTAGTCTAGTCAAAGTTTGCCCTTAGGCTTGCCTTGGCTATTGCTATCAAGCTCGTTCAGAGCAAAAGCAACGCTTCCATCACTATTTCTCATCCGTCCGTCCACAAGCCATCATTCACTCCAAGCAGAGACCGTGCATTGCCATGGCCACTAAGATTCTCATAGGAGTGGGGGCGCTCAAGAACGGAGCGACAAAGAAACCGATTGCTGTAGTGGGTATCATGATGCTGGGGATCTATTTGGTGCTGTCGACGACTTTGTTGTATACGTCTGTTACGGAGGACATTGTCAACGAGAGATGATTGAGACGGGATAAAATGATACGCACCACCAGCGGTTTTTTCAACGTACTCGACGGCATCTTCGAGGGTCTTCTTGGCGGTGTCTAGGTAGCTCTCCTCGCCAGGCTTAGTGCTAGTCGAATCGGATAGATTCTGGGTGATTGATTTATCATCGCCTTTGATGCGTCAGCAAGGGCATGAAGTCCCGAGCAGGGCAGTATGGAGGAAGAGGATTCGTACTTGGCTGAACGCTGCCAGCAACTTTGTCACCTGGATCTTGTCAGTCAGATGTCCGGCAGGCTGGTAGGGAAATGTAATTTACCTGCGTCGGTAACACCTTCCTTGGTCTTGTCGAAAAGAGATTTCTGAGAATCAGGGGTGAACTTCTCCTCAGCCTTATCGCCAAAGTCTTTGCGTCTGCGGTCGAAGTTGGTGTCAGGCAGCGGTTCAAGTGGCTAGGCAGCATAGATTGCCGGAGAGAAATAGAACTTACCCAAGATCAGACATGATGATGGCGATTTGGCTTGCAGATTTGAGTGTGTTTGTAGTCTTTGTGGATTTACTTGAGCAATTGTTTGTGCAGATGAATGGTAGAAATGATGGTGGTTGTGAAGAAAAGGAATGTTTGAAAGGAAGGAGGGGCAGTAGAGTATTTATCGTTTGTTTCCGACGCTACTGGTGTTACCGAGGAACGCGCGCGATACATAAGATCTTACCTTAGTGGTATGTGGTCACGCAATTCATCTTTCTGCCTATTCATCAACATTTTCCACCTTGGCACCTTTTCGCACTGCTATATACGCTGAGAATGACTGCTCTCGTGCTCTTTTGTCATCTATACTTTGTATATGAAACCATCAAGGGTCCGTGACGTCACTGCGGGGCAGCGTTTCATGACCACTTCCTTTAGCGTACTTTAGATTGTTGCGAGGACCCACTTAGAATACGGAAATAGGCAAGAGGTCATCCACTCATGCCAGAATTTTACTTGGATGACATTCCTTACACAGCAAAATGATATTCAAGAGATTCATCTTTTGGACAATAAGATACGTCAAAAAAATCGCGCATATTGTACCCTTCGTCCTATAAGCCATGAAACATTGTTGCCCTTCTCATCGATACATCCGTTGACAAAATAGGGCTCCTGCTGCTAGGTCGAAGAGTCGCGTACGTATAAGGCTATCATGCCATCGTCGAGACGAGTCGTCCGTCCTGTCGCTGGTTGTCGAACCGCTCGCCGCTTCAAATAACCCGTTTCTTGATCTGGAAGCCCAGGTACATCAAAGGTGGGAAATTGTAGGGGGGCTGCAGAATGCAAGCTGCGGCAAAGAAACCTCCCAAATTGCCCACTTAAGCAACGGCCGAGGCAATGGCGAATGCAATGTCCCAATACACAGGCACGACTTCGCACCAGGCCACTTTGCCCGCCTTCGTTCCCAGGCTGGGAACCTTGAAGAAGTCCATGAGTACGTTGGTGTCAATGACTTTAATGCCGATGTTGCCACGGAGCAGGGCCGCGATAAGGCCGGAGGTGGAACCAAACGCGTTTGCTACCTACCGTCTGCCAGGCATAGCTACAGATTCATAGACACGCGACGTCCTGATTGCTTTCGGGGTTAGCATGTATCTTCTAGGATGAAGACCAGTTCATGAAACAGATTCCTGGCATGTTTTACTCTTGCAACAAGTCTCGCTACTCCAAACGCAGTACGAATCAGGAAGTAAAGGCTGGGGAGAGAAGCTCGCAATGATGATTCGCTCTTAGTAAGAATAAACATGGATGCCGAAAAGCGTGTAGCAGAGGCAGCTGAATGTCTGGGCACGGATCATACCCTTACAGAAGTCAAAGGGTCGCCTCATCTCGGACATAGACTCGACGAACAACATGGCACCGCCGTACGAGTAGACTGCTTGCATAAGTCCAACGACCTGATCCTGAAAAGCCACTCCCTCTGGTGGACTTGCAGTCGTTAGTATGAGACCTGGGTTTATCATGTAGGCGGGGTTGGCAGCCGTGTAATTAGGGAGCATGTGTGCAGTGACAGCCATCGTTGAAACGACAATGATGACGTTCAATGAGATGGGGAAATGTCCTAGATGCCCTAGCTTTGCCAAGGTTCGGATCTGCCCAAGAAACATGCCCGGGATGGCCCATACCAAGCAAAGAATGATGAGTTATACGCCGTTTTGGTCCAGGCTCGGTCCTTTCGCGGCCATCTGTGACAGACTCTGCCCGTCAGAAATGATGATGATGCCAACATTGATAAGCAACTGGAACGTCTGCAGGATGTTGACACCGTGTCGTACGGTTTGACCCTATACAAAAATAGCGATATCACCATAGGTCTTGAGAGGGTAGCGATCAGAGTGCAACTGTAGGACCATCTTCCATAGCAAGTATCCTCCATTGCAGGTAGTCAACATCAAGATTCGAGACCAGGCCTTACGGATAGCTTACTAGCCAGCGAATATAGCGAAGATATGTAGAGGACAGCGTTAGGCTTGTAACTTATCTGTCTGATTGCCCATCTATGTGTCGAACGGTGTAAGCGTGCATTCCGCCAAAGCTGCTCGAACGGAAGGTGCTTAAAGACTGGATAAAGAGCCGAGGGTATCCATGGTGATAAGGAAGAAGACAGCACCCCATGTGGCTGTACGAACCGCACGGGAGGCTTGGACATAATCTTCCTCTGCAATGGCAAAGGGCTGGGCTCGATCGGGCGAAGAGGACGTCGTGCCGTTCTCACTCACTTCTGCCTCTGTGGTCGTGGCTTAGGTCTCCTTGGCGAAAGGGTTAAACGTCTTCAGGCTTCATACGGTGTAGATGTTGTCAGTGTGGGCTGGTACCACGGTACGGTAATTGGCGCGCATGATGGCAGCATAACGCAATACTGTTCGAACGTGACACTGCGGTCGGGCAGCTTGTGACTCGCCAAACCTGCACCTTGCAGATGAGCCTATGCGAGGGTCACCACCGTCCAAGTCCCTTGCGATACCCCCCGGGTTCGCCATGATGTCTGATATGGACCAGAGGGGAGATGGGCACACGACGAGGTCAATAAATGAAAGTAGGAGAAACATATCGAATGCGACATGGCGTTAATAAATAGTACAATGGTGTCGAGCTCTCTCCCTAGTCTAGAAGAGAAAGGCGGTCCGCCTCATCGTACTGAAAGGACCATCAGTACAATCAGATTAAAACTTGCATAGATCAAGACCAAATCTCCTGGTGGAAGTGAATAGAAAACAAGACAAGTGTATCGCGTAGTCTAAGAATGGAAGTGTGATCAAGAGATGCACTCCCTGTGCCTCGTTCTTTTTGCTCGTCGCGTGTCATGCAGCTAGGCCAATCAAACGCGGGATCGATAATATTATAGCTCATCAACCCGGACAACCATCACCAAGCTCGAGGTAACATTCCAAATCAAAGCCGCTGTTGCGAGCATTTCCAACAGTGCCATAGGGATAGAGGATGGTTTTGGCGAAGGGAGGGACAGGGCCTGATCTACCTTAAATCAGATGTCGACTTGTTGGCTTGCATCCTGCAGCGTCTTGGACATCACTATCGCGTCAACCGTCGCACTGGTACAGGTTACAACTCCCGCCTGTGGATAGAAATATGTCTGTGATGAGCACGGGTATGCGCTTAGCTTTGTAATTGTTCTGATCAGCATACGAGTGCTTAGATGGATGACGAGACATGCAAGTGATGCAACGCGAGCTAGGTGGAGGGTGGCGGCGCCTTAAAGCTTTATTTACAAGCAACTGATCTCGCAACGACCGCACCCTTATTGACAGCCAGTAATCCAGTATTCGACGCTATCACACTGGTGATTCAGTGAACAGCGGCGCCGTCAGCGCCACTAGCCTTCTAGAAGTCCTCTCAGGTTACCTGTTGTTAGAGTACTGACAGACGTTGCAGCTATGCTCAGGCTGGGCAGTCGGCTCGCTTCGTAGTTGGTACATTGGTGGACGGATACCTAGGTAGTTCGCCTTTCACGCGTGCTGATCGGAGAAATTGAAGCTTGTGGCAACAAGCTTCGATGAAATTAATCAGGCACTTCAGGAAACAATTAGCTTCGGGTCTGAACGAGATCGTCTTGAACTCTGTCGAAGAGTCCTGAAAGCAAATAGATACAATCGGCTATCCTTACCCTTGGTTCCATTACTACAGATCGGCCTCATCGGCCTCATCACTTCTGAGAGGACAGAGGCACACAACGTTGAGCTGAAAATGATTGGTATTCAGGGTCCACTCGCTCCCTGTGTTAGGAAGCCTCGGTCGACGGATACATCTCCGGAGAAGGGACGTCGAGCGGTATCATGTCTTATTGCCATCACCATATCTGCGCGAGACCACTGTTGGGTATAGCCTTAATGGTCCATCGCATATCCAGGCACGGCAAGCGAAAGCCCCCTACTAAGCTGGCGGAGTATCATGTATGACAACGAGTAGAAACTTCGCATCTGTCCATCCTTCTCAGCATGATGCCCAATGGAAAGCGGTATAGAACATACCCGGGACAATGACTATCTCAGTCTTGCGTGTCCTCAACCGAAGGAGTTTGACTTCATCCGACGTGTCCATGCCCTCTGTGAATGCCTTTGCTCCTGCCACAAACGCAAATACCATTCGTGCAATGTCCTCTGCACTGTGACCTTTCTTGTCATCTTTTGTGCTGCTAGGATAAGCAATCCCAGTTCTTATTGCATCCACCGGCTCTACGGAACCATCATGGCTTGAACCATTCCCAACGGATAGGTCTCGTGAAGACGAGGATGACGATCCAGCAAGAAGCCCAGTGCTGCGAATGATAGAGCCGTCAGATTTGGAGAGAATGAGGGTGGATTGGACACCAGGTTTCGATGCTAGGCGTGACAAATTCTCCAAGGTCGCTGCTGGCTAAGTTCCTGCTGTCAGCTTCTATTGAACGGCGTATAGCACCCAACGGAGCGGCATACCGTTGGTTGTACCATCCTGTTCACGCTTAGTAGACGTGTCTCAGGCCACTGCGTTGACCAAACTGCTGACTACGGCAAACACCAGTAGGTGGATGTTCTCCGACAGCGAACAATGCTTCTGGTAGACGAGGAGCAGACGTATCATGAAAAGCTCCAGCACGAACAAATGACCAAAACAGACCTGATACCAGACAGAATCACGTCGTCCTGGGCTGCACCATTTCGGAGTTAGTTATTTTTTATCAAGGGGATCATCTGAAGCTGTATCTCTTTCTTCCAAAACTTGTCTCACGACCCGAGCAAGAGGCATGAAAGGGGACGGGATGAATGCATACTAGTCGCGGAAGTTTTGGGCTTGTAGCACTATTGAAGTGAAGGTGTGGTAGACCAGCAGTAAGGGCACCAGCAACGAAGGATTCAGGGCGTACTCAGCGAAGACTTTCGGGTCTATCTTCGGTGGAGGCGGCCAAAGTTGGATATCAAACGTGGTAAAGTTGAGGAAGTAAGAGCTCATGCTGGACCGTGGTATTTTGGCTATTTTCTAAGTCCATGCGGCCAATCCCAACCGGAGCGTCGGAAAGATGTTTCGTCGAGAGTTTTGCTATGGGCTGCACTGTTGGCTCAAAGCATCTTTTCAACGAAAGCACCCACGAGAATACTACCGAGTCCCGAATGTTCAGGTTTACTATCTGTACCATGGACTGTGATTAAGGTGGAGTGTTGAGAGGTTTGTCTGCTGCAATCAATTGCCGATCACTAAGCTAGCGTGGAGCCAGGATAGACAGCTCCTCCATCCGCACATGTAGATCAGAGCAAACCTCTGGCGCTCGGATGATATAAATACAACAGCATGTCAAACAATAGCGTGCAAACTTGCCTCACTATTCGGTTCAAGGCCACGATTATTACAGATACTCACAAATCAAGGCAACGGCCGCCCTGAAGAGCTATGGGGTCGAGTGCAAAAAAGAAGAATGAGAAGAGGAAAGACTTCAAGAAACCCAAGCTGAAGGTTGGTAAAGCTCGCCCCAAGCCAGACAATTTCACGGACACAAGCTTCAAGGCAAAGGGTCAGTGGATGCACAAGACCGAACTTAACACTCAATTCGCTGACTCTGCTCGAAGCCATCGTCCTCGCCCACCAGTCCCTCACTACCAATGCCCCCACTCAATCCACGCAATTCACCCACCACCTGTCCCTTCTCTCCTCCCGCTCATCGTCTCAACGACGCGACTCTCTTGCCTACCTCACTGCGGCTCTTACCTCCCGGCCCGTCAATATAACCCTCCCACAGCCTGTCGGCGTCCTCCTATCGAAACTCAACCCTCTGATACTGGACGGCAGCAATAGCGTTCGCATACAACTCCTCAAACTTCTTCGCACTCTTCCATCTCGAGAGATTGAACCTCATACAGGACAAACTCTGCTCTATATCCGCGCCGGACTCACCCATCTTGCCGCAGATATTCGTTCCTCAGCCACCGATTTGTTACTCTGGGCCATCGAAGCCTGCCCCAACGAGCTTGTCTCCTGCGCCGGTGGCTGGGTAAAGACGTTGAAATGCCTGCTGACTGTACTGCACTGGCACGCTCCTTCCCTCACACCTGGTACAGGGCCGGTCGTGGGGGCCAATGCATGGTCATCATCTCGGGCTCCTACTCTAGGAAGAGAAGGGTCAGAGGGTAAGTTGACGGTCAAGACATTGAATGTACTGGCTACATTTCTACGCGCCGGGCTAATGGAGGAACACAACGCCGACGAAGATGCTATGTATGCCGAGAAATGGCCCTTCCCATTAAGGTATGTAGAGGCTCATATGCTACCGAAACGTTCGAACGCCTTTGCCCATCTCAACCTTTTTGGACCGCCAAGGGATGAAGAAAGTGAAATGTATGTTGAGCGAGAGGAACGGCACAGGATATTCCACAACAAGGTTTTATGCAATTGTTTCCAGTGAAGTTGAGGCGGCGAAGAGAGAAGGAGGTGAAGTGGGGAGGGCGGCTGCAGGGGTGGCTAAGGTCTTGACAGAGGGAATGGAGGGTTTTGAGCTAGGGTAAGTGACACCAATGGTGGGAATTCGAGTCAAGAAACAAGACATGCATTCTTTGCGCCCTACTTCATTCAAGTGCTGAATGGGGTGGGAGTCTTGCTATGACGGGTGAATGAGAAAAACTTCGTACTTAAATACTTAGTATGGTAAGCTTAGAGAATGCGGCTGATGACGCCTGAGGAAATGTACTCGAAGCGTTTCTAGCTCTTCGGCAAGGTTTCTGCCACGATCAAGATGCAGTATAAGGGAATGAGAAACCAACGCATGTTTCGTGTTCAGTAAACTAGATCCTATCTTGAGTACCTGTTGGATGAGCTAAGAAATCCACCATTTTTCGAAAAACGCTCCACTGGTCGGGAACCATAATGTTGATAGCAAGCCGGCCGCATAGCCTAAAAAGAGGGAAAACCGAAAGACATGCCTCAGCCGTTGGGAAACATCGACGGATCCCTCTTTAGTTCCCCATATAGGTACTGGCATCAACACCTTTCTCTGGAAATTCACTATTGCGGCTGTTAGCAAATATACTCGCATTGCCCCAAGACTCTGCTTCTCGGCACCTACGGGATCTTGTTCTCAAATCTCGTCTCAATGGCCTTGATGACGTCTTGATCTGCCTCACTGCTTACGAATGAGATACTCAAACCCTTTGTTCCAAATCGTCCAGCACGGCCAACTCTATGCAGGTAGGAGTCTGCATCGCCGGGCAAGTCGTAGTTGATGGCTAGGTTTATACGCTCAATGTCGATACCACGGCCAAAGACATCAGTCGCAACGCAAATACGCTTGTTGAATTCTTTGAATTCTTTGTAGCGTTTGATACTATCATCGTCAGCATGCATTGGTGACATCAGTTCAAACGTGTGCTCACCGCTCTTCTTGGCTGACACCAGAATGCACCGCAATACTTGGGAAGTTGCACTCGCGAAGCAGTTTGTCCAACTCCGTCGCTCGCAGAGTGCTCTTGACGAAGATGATGACCTGGTTGAATTCGAGGGTATCTAGCAGCTCGTTGAGCTTCCGGTTCTTCTCTGCCTCGCTGAGCTGGATGTAGTACTGCTGAAGGCCGTGAAGAGTGAGCTTGGTCTCGTCATCGACGTAAATTTCCAGAGGATTCTGCATGAATTTCTTGCAGATTGGGCGAATCTCCTGAGCGAGAGTAGCACTGAACATCATAACCTGCTTTTGAGTGGGAGTGGCGCGGAAGATATCCTGGACGTCGCGGCGCATGTCTGAAGTGGTGTCTCAGCTTTTGTACGTATATTCGAACTTTCATACGTGATTTACCAATCTGATCCAGCATCTTGTCACATTCATCAAGAACGAAGACCTTCACGCTTCCGAGACGAAGCTTCTTGTCGCGGACCAGTGCGTTCAATCGACCGGGTGTAGCAACGATGATGTGAGGGTGAGTGTCTTTGTTTGACAACGTCTCGATATCCTTCTGCATCGGTGTTCCGCCGTAGAAGACCCCAGTTTTGATATCCGGAAGATACTTGCTGAACCGGGCATATTCGTTCTTGATCTGGTAGGCGAGCTCGCGTGTGTGACACATAACCAGAGTGGCGCACTCGCCGGGCACTGGCTCGATTTGCTGAAGCGTCGTAAGGACAAAGACTGCAGTCTTTCCGAGACCGGACTTTGCCTGGCACAGGACATCGGTTCCAAGAATGGCTTGAGGAATGCACACTTGCTGGACTGTGATGAGGCGATGCCGAAGTTAGACTTGCTTTCCCGAAATGATATTTATTAAAATGCCCGGTCCATTTCAATGTCCGTCCATCTCGCAATTACATAATTCTCCAGGAAGTATGTCTGCTCTGCCAAAGCCAAACAAGCAGACCAATACTCAAAAGAACCTCTTTTATAGTATGCTCAATGCATCTGCAGGCGGCCTCGGAAGTCTCTTGGAAATACGATGCTCTAGAGCCCCCATCATTGTGGATATCATCGGTGAAGATGACAGCAGCAATGAGATTCACTTGAAGCGCCTTCAATCCGTTATTGCTATCTGCAGCCGGAATACAGTGTAGCCAGATCCGGTGAGACTTCCTTGGGCCGCCCACGGTTGGAACGAAACAGCGCAATGATACCTCTCGCGAAGATGGACGGACGGATGGACACACGAGGCACTGGAGGAAGCTAGGGAGGAAACTTATGACTGACCCTCCGATGGATGCTCGAAACCGCAGTCGGTGATGGCGCGGAGAAGCTCTGGCTTCAACAAGAAATCCCGGAAACCAGTAGAGTGAATGCCAACATAGCTGCCCTTCTTGTCCGCGTTACCTCCAGAGACGGTCAAGTCACCCTTCTTGGTTGCGGCTCCATTGGTGGCTGCTGGCGCCGCGGCTGCTGCATCGTTGGTTTGGAGTTCCTCATCCGAGTAGTCAATGAGATCTTCTTCGTGAGACATGTTGTAGGATGACGGGAGCTGGGGATAGAGTGGAGGGGGATGTAGTGTGAGACTATTGTCGAGTGGTAACGCAAGGCTACAGGAACAACGCCGGCTGTGTTGAAATGTGCAGTCAAAATCGAACGGCCTTGACTAGCCCGAGATCCTTAGAGACAGTAGGTATCAGCCGTAAGATGTCGGAGTGAGGGATTGAGTTGGATGAAGTTGTTGAATGTTGTTGCGAAATAATGGATGGTCAAGGAGCCAAGAGAACTTGAAATGAATCGCAGCTAGACCGAATCCGTCATCGCGCGGAAAGTGAACCATTCGCTTTCGGTCCACCCTGCGACGACATCATCTCAAAAAAAATAATTTTACAAGAAGGCACTCTGGCCAATTCAACCTGCCACCAATCCGCAGCTCTCTGTGCTGCTGCATGAAGTCAGTCAAGGCTTTCAATCGGCCAGCCATGGCGCAAGATAAAGCAAAAACGCAGAAGGGACTTGCTCAGAAACATCTACATTCGAGGATTTCCTACCTATATCAAGCTGCCACTTACCTTGCGAAAGGTACAGATCAACCGCAAGTGAGATCGAATTGCGTCAATAACGAGGCCAAGAAACAGAACAAGCCTGGTGAAGAGCTTCAATGCGCAGTAGCTGCCTCTCAGGCTGTGTCTGAGAGCCTCCCTATTTCGCCAACCGAACCAAAAATATGGATGCGCAAAATCAGTCCTGATGATGATAGGGTATCCGAAGAATCCGCTCTCTCCCGCCAGCTGGTTGTCCACCTCCGAGCGATATCGCTGAAAAGCCAGATTAGGCTATCTCCTGCGATGAAGCATACGATATGCAAGCGCTGTGACATTCTTCTAATGCCAGGATCTACGTCTACGTCCTATATGGAGAATAACAGCCGCGGGGCCAGGAAAGCGTGGGCTGACGTCCTAGTCACGACGTGTACTGGGTGCGGTACCGCAAAACGATTTCCCGTGGGAGCCAAGCGCCAGCTTAGGAGGGAGTCCAGGATTGGCAAAGCACGAGATGTGGGAACATCGGGCCATGAGGCTGTCTAGCATGAGAATAGTGATTGAGCTGTGCTGCCTCCAAGTCGAGTCCAACTCTTGCATATCGCCACGGTGCCGCTTAGGGTGGCACTCCAATTATTTTCAATATGCCGACTTGTGAAGGGAAACATTTTGCAACAATGAGATAGTGATTCAAGAAAACATGGAACCCCAGCAGTAAGGACACAATGTCCCTACTTCCTGTACGGTGACTGAAGCGCACAGCATCTAGCCTACTGGACTCCGTGTCATGACAAAATAGTGGTGGATGCCGTGGCCGCCATACTTGGACATGTCTATATCCAGTGTCTCTACGTCCACAAAACCCGTGCTTTGGTAAAGATGGTGACCTTCCGACGATGCTTCCAAATAGGCTTCGAGCCCCAATCCGTCTGCGAGTTTGAGCCCCCAACACAGAAGCATTCTCCCAGCACCTCTACGCTGATGCTGTGGTTCACATACAAGCATGTTCAGGCCTAGGAGTCAATCATTTTAGTGCGAATTGTCGAACGGAAGGTCAAGTCAACTCAAACTTACAGCAATGCGGTTTTCCGCCCATAACCTTTTGCCTTTCTACACAAATGGCATTGTAGAATTCGTTGGCGGCGTCAACATTGGTCCCTAGGTCCCAGTTTCTCGCTTCCGTATGTTTCCACTCGCTCTCTGGTCTTTCCATTTCATAAATATTCCATCTGGCAAACGCGATGATCTCGCCAACGTCCGTGTCCACGGCCTTGATGAAGCGCATGGTCGGATTGTTTGAGATCTCATCTCGCCAACGCTCAATGGAAGCGCCCCTGGCCTCTGTTCCCGGGATTTTTGGATACATGAGGCGATTCCACGGGTCTTTGCTGAAGGCAGCGTACATGATATCGAGCAGTCGTTGTATATCAGCCTCTTGGGCCTTTTCAACGAGGAGAACCATGTTGAGGATAAAAAGTTTCTCTCGAGGGTGGTGGATGCGTAGCTTGCCAAGAGGAGTACTTCTAGGCACGGTAACTGCCCTTTTTGAAGAAGTAGCAGAAAAATGAGTCACGGGTAGCAATCTTTAGCCAGGGTTAAATGTAAAGTATAGTGCAAAGAATAAGAACTGAAGTAGCGTCTTCAGCCCCAATAAGAGGCAAGTGTATGCGGGAGCTTCGCACTTCATCTGCATGTTTGAGTCACCGATCTTCCCCAATTTCCCAATCCTCCTCTATCGATTCAATAATGACACAGGTTCGAGCTGGCCTCTGGTAGGAATTTGCCACGCGATCGTCAATCTTCGCCCTTGATCGGATTGAACAGACCCGAGCACCCGAACGGCGGTAACATGCAGACAAATCGGAAGCAAAGACAAGGCGGAAGGTGAAGAAGCCAGACATGCTTGGGAGTGGTGTGGTGGGGTGAGGCGAATCAACATGTCGATGTGGTACAAGTCTACGATACAATCCCTCGAACTGTTGTACTTCTGAAAATAAGATACATAAAAAAAGAATCAAGCGAGCCGGTGTTGTTGGCAACCCACCATGCATACTGCCAAGCCGCAAATGAGTTGTGGAAATTTGGAAATTGGAAACACTCACATGGTAAATATGCCCTGCTCAAATGGAGAGCTGAAGGACACACTGGCGGATATGAGAGCATGACAGCCGGTTGGGCACCTCCCACAATTACTTCCCACCCTTCGCACTTCATTTATCCATCTGACCCTCATCGTTCGGAACGTTGCTGATTTGGAATCGCCAACAGTGTTTCACGGACTGCTAATTCCTTCTCTGTGATTCTTGGATTTACATCCCAGAGTCCTGCGCTTTTCTCGGCATTTTTGGTGATATCCCCAATGCCCCATGCATCGCTTCTTTTGGTTGACAGCAGCTTTGGAAGAACGCGAGAAATCCCATCAAGTGAGCAACGTAGGATGACCATCTCTTACATATCTTCTTCATGTTGAGCATTTCCATCATTGTTCCCGTAAGGACATTTATGGAGAGGCTTTGGTCACAGAAGACTCGGGCAGGAATTGATTTGAGCACCATTTGAGCAACTCTCGTAGTACTTCTCCAACTATGTGGTTAACGGTTTGCAGGAAAGCGGTCCGTGGGACCCTGTTCTACCATCTGGGTGGCAATGGCCCGTGGATAAAGATGATTGATGGAAACGTTGCCGTTGCAATTAACATCTTCCCACCGCACGGTGGCACCGTGGTGCAAGTACATATGGTCAGTCGCTGGTCGATCGAAATGTTTTGGAGCGCTGTATGTTGTACTTCCGGCCAGATGTCGAGGCATTCTGAGCGATGTCCAACGACTAACGCTGGTGATCAATCGTACGTTTTATTGCACTTTTTAATATCGCTTGGAGTCAAACCGAGAAATTCCATAGGCTAATCTATCACCAGGGATGCTAGATCTTCTCCAATGTATCAAGCACTCGAACATCACCTTCGAGGGTGATCTTTCTTTTGTCAACGACTGGGGTTACCTCGCCTTGGGCTTGCCTCTTGCGGCCCGTCCTTCATGTTGAGACGTTGACTTGAGGAGGCAGATCCTACTCTTGACCACAACCACATTGCAGTCACCGGTCCCTATGCAGGTACACTCTCAGATTTTCGAACAGGCGCCAAAATGCGGTCTCGCTATTGCCAACTCCTGCACCCACCTAGAGCAGGAAAGAGGCTCACACTGTGGGCCAGCGACTCCAAGCGCGTCATCGAAACGACAGAGGATTTTGCCAATGGCTTATTGGGTCTTGACTGGTCTTCAAAATTGTTGAGCGCAGCTTCATCCCGGAGACGAATAATCTTGGTGCTGACACTCTAAGGCCTGGCGACACTTGTTTGGCGTCTCGTCATGATGCGGCGCTCGGCCACGATTACGGATACACGCAGCTTTTCAAATTTCGAGACACCTATCTACCTTCAATTGTAGATCGGTTCCATCCAAGAATTGCTCACATCAACCTCACCAACAGTGAGATCTATAGCATGCAGGAAATGTGTGGCTTCGAGATCGTAGTCAGGGGTAGTAGCCCATGGTGTGAAGTCTTCACTCGCAAAGACCTGGCTCAACTTCGAGTGCGCACATGACATGATACACTACTACCGCGCTGGACCAGGTAACAGCTACGCACCCACTATGGGTTGGCTCTGGCTTGATGCCGCAGCCAATCCATCGAAAGGGGGTCCCATTGGCCGAAGGGGCATTCTTTAGCTTGTGAGTCTATGCAAGATCCACTTCGAAGTTCCAATAAATAATGCAGCACTCCAGCGTCCGTGACGGTGACATTCTCCCCATGCTCACCGCCCTCGATCTCTTCAATTCCACCCGTCACCTGCCCACAGCCTACAGACTGCTCGGCCGTCACTGGTCCCTGTCATTTTCGAGCTTCTGCAATGCGACAGCACCCAGCCGTCGCCCTGGAAGGATGGTCTTCTGCGCCCCTAGAAACGGCCTTTGCTAAGCAAGACCCATGTTCGACAACGGCCGATGAAGCGAAAAGGTCATTACGTTCGTACCTATGTCAATGACGGTGCTATTGCGCTGCCAAGTTGTAAATCAAGTCCCGGCTCGAGCTGTCCACTCAGAGAGTTCCTGTCACACGTTAAAAGGAGAGGCGAGGAGAATCGGAGATGTCAAGGAGATTTGTGGTCTGAGCGTGGAAACCCTGGATAGTATCACGTTCTTGCATCAATCATCGGTCGTCCCTAACAGAGCTGATGAGACTGGGACGTCTGTCCTTGGTTCCTTCCTCAATCACGCAGTCTACGCACGGGTGTGCTTTTCTGACCTTTGATCGTCGATAGTGCTGGTAGTCAAGCAGTGCTGAAATCCGAATCAGAACGGTGGGGCGTTTGGACACGAGAAAGATGCGACGGCCCGAGGAGATCGGATTTGTGCTTTGGGGGAATAGGCGATGAGCAGAAGCTCTAACAAAGACTGTAGACATCGAAAGGGGTCTGCAAAATGCTCCAATACTAGACATAGTCATTAATGAAATCATCGATAAATTAGACGGTTCCTCGGATCCATGACAATCTTTTGCATTGCTCTCTGTTTCGGTTGTAGAACGCTCGCTGCGTTAGCCACATCGAATGAAGACTCCATGTCTATGGCAATAAGACCGGAGCCTGGGAGAACTGCTGGCCCTGCCATTTGTCCTGTGTATTGTATGAGCATCATACGCATCTGGTCCGTGTGTATGCAAAAGAGGAGCTTGGCTACGGCGAGATGGCTCCAGGACGCGACTTTGAGACGCAGGCTGTGGGCTTTGTGGAGGACAGGTTGACAACAGGCAGGCGTCGGGCTTTCTCTGACCGTGAATGGCCGTGGATGGGAGAGGCTGACATGCAAAATATGATAAAGGCAGGTAAGGTTGGGAAGGACAGGGAGAATGTATGATCTACAAGCCGATTTCGTTTCGTTACAGGCCTTATCACTGTTCATGGCAGCAGCTTGACCATGCTAGTGAAAGATTCATTGAGGTGGTCACAGGTTCGTTGATGGAACGTTCAACATTCTATAGAAAAAATAAAGTATATAGGACTCTGAACTGAAAAGTATGACAGGAGGGTTTCCAGAGCTTTTCCGGCGTGTTCCATGTCTTGTTGCTCTTTTTCCTGTGAATCATGAAGGACATCTCTTCTCTTGGCACGTACCAGCACCTGGGGGTTTTCATCGTCGTTAAAAAACAGCTCTCCATCGTTGGGCCGTATGTGAAGCCTGTGGGGGATGTGAATAAGCTAACAACGGAATGTACGAGACGTCTGACGGGTCCACAATAGCTGGGAGAGAGGCGGACAGTAAGCTCCGCGAGCCGGCGTCAAGTTTCCTGGGCTCCGAAGCTTGGTGGTCCGCTGTTCTTAAAGGATCTCGACGTACTCGCAGCCATCTATTTGTACGTCCTCAAGGCTAGGCGACCCTTAAGATAGGATATCGGAAACAGGAGGCATTGGCCTAAAGAGGACGATTATATGCAGGTCCACGCCCCTGCACCATGGCGAAGTAAAGAGAAGTGGAGGATATGGACAT